TTGAAACTCTCTAACCTCGTAAGACTGTTTATTCACTAACCATAATCTTTCACGTTTATCGTAAACGATGTTGCATTTTCGACTAATATTGTTATCCACCAGTAACTGTTTGGTATGTTACTCATGTTTCCGTTTTTCTCTGTTCAAGACTGCCTTAGCTGTTTTTATGTACTGAGTCAATTTACGCTTTAAAAACGGATAAATTTAATCGAATCAAACAGCTTACTTGTTATGACTTTGGATAAGCTAGTATTCTGTGCCCAACAGTCTGAGGGCTAGTTTAGAATTATGTCTGTGTGAAATTACTTTCCGCAAACTCCCTAGCAGAAACACAGACTTTCCATTCCGTATGAGACATTTAGACTATAGTTAAATATGCTACTATTCAACTACCGTACATAAAACGCCGATACTCGAATAAATATGGACATAATCAAAGTGCACTGCGTTATCTATTTATAATAATAATAATATATTTCTGCAATAGCAGGAACACGCCATTTTTACAAGCATGATCTACAATTTACAACATATACTGGTTCACGGTATGCATCCCAAGCAAGGTTGTTTAGTAATGATAATCTATAAAAGTTGATAGCAGTTCATTCGTTCAGATATAATGTGTTTTCATAAGAATAGTTTCCAAAGGAGCATGACGTCCACATTACATACCAGATCCAATCTCGACAAAATTGTATTAGGGTTTCGGTCGTGCTAAGTATTTATGTAATGCAGCTTTTTAAGTTTATAGTTGTTATAAAGTAGGCTTGTGGAGCGCCTGGTTCGAACTATGATCTTGGGAAAGCGCGTTCGTCGAGCTTGTTCCAGATGTCAGAAGTTACATAGCTTCACCCTCAGAGCAAGATTCTGAAGAGAAAAAAATAAAAATAAACCGAGGAGCAGCAAGGCATTTGGATATGAACAATAACCAATGCTTAACATTTATTAGTGGAACAGATGGAGGTATGATAAATTATTAGATTAAATTGATACCAGCTCATATTGCAAGAGTGAAGTGTGATTAGGGGCTCCAGAGGAGAGAATGCAGTAATAAAGAACAATGAGTTGTGATATTTATCAAGGTGGAGTAGGTTCCAATGAAGGAGGAAGGTCAAGGTTGGAATGAGGAAGAACAGAGAGTGCATATAGAGAGTAGAGTGTTGAGTAAAATAACAACCATATCCTTTACAGTCTGTTTTTTTCATCATCCGATGCCTGCCACACAGTTTTCATGTAAAAGTCAGAGTTAGCATGTCAAAGGCTGTCATAGTAGAATAGTTAATCCAGCACAAAAATTAGAAACATGAGTCTGAATGGTGAGTGTAGGAGAACAACCTCAGTATCACAGATTGATTGACTTGTTCTCAACCATAGAAAGCCTGATACAAACAAAATGTTTTGCCCCACAAACACGGATGGATTGAAATCATCGCCCTCACCATCAGTGCTTACTGACCAGTAGGCACTGTTGGTGAGGGCTTGTGTTAATCGTGTTTATTGTGTGTTTATTGTCAAATATTCTCTTTTCAGGTAGGCTATCATGTCACAAGCGGAATCTTTAGGCTCAGTTGTCGTAGTCCACAATAATCCATCTATATACACGTTTTATGGTCTTGACACCAATTACAGATAATATTTCGGTGCAAGCTGTCTCATTACACCTGTGATATATTGACTTACATTAAAAATGAACATTATTTCCGATTTATTCGTCTCTGTGTGAAGTGTGTTGAATGGATATTTTAGGAAAGATATCAGGTGAGATTTAAGTGCTACAAATCACAAAATCTATGTAACATGGAATCAGACAGTAATTCATACAATCGGCAGCTCCAATTTCATTGAATAAGGACCCCTGTACTTAAAAACGACGTCGCGTGAGAGCTCATGATAATTGTTTGTATTTACTGAAGGAATAAGAAGGCTTGTCTAGTATTCGCTACTTTTACAGGCACTGAGATTCAGTCTGCTGATATACGAAAATAAGGCTCCATCATATGTATAGGCCTTTTAATGTTTATTTGTTCCATACCCTCATCGCATCTGATGAAGAAAAAAGACAGGCAGTAAAAGATATGGTTGTTAGTTTCACTAACACTTTACTCTATATATGCACTCTCTGTTCTAATAAACAGCCTTCCTTATTCCAACCATGACTTCCTTTATTTGAACTTACTCCACGTTGATAAATCTCACATCACATTGTTCTTTATTACTTCATTCTCTCACCTGGAACCCCATGATCCCATTTCACTCTGGCGACAAGAGTTAGTATGACTTTAATCTAATAATTTATCATACCCCTCTCTGTTCCACAACTAATTGTTAATAATTGTTCATCGTTTATATCCAAATGTTTTAATGCCCCTCGGTTTCTCTTTTTTCTTTACAATCTTGCTCTGACGGCACAGCTATAGAACTTCTGACATCCGGAACAAACTCGAGGTACGCACTAACCCAAGGTCATGGGTCCGGCGTCGTAGTTCACACCAAGCGCTCCACAAGTGTACTTCAAACCAACTATAAACTTAAAAAGTCGTATTGCATAAATACTTAGCACGACCAAAATCCTAACACAATTTTGGTGAGATTTGATCTGGTATGTAACGTGGACGCGTAGCTCCTTTGGAAAATATTTCGAAGACTACACAGTATGTCTGAACCAACGGACTGATATTCACTTTTATAGATTATATTTACTAAGCAATCCTACTTGGGATGCATACTGTAAACCAGTAAATGTTGCCGTAAATGCCTGCACGTGCAGTTTTACTTACAACACGAAAAAAAAGATTTTCTCTCTAAATCCGTAAGATAAATATTTCTTTAAGTTTATACGGAGCTAAGCTTCAAGTAATAAAACACGGCTCCGATAAATTCGTTGGTTACACTCCAAAATATCCCCTCGAAACTTTCGCACAGTATAATAGTGTGTAGTGGCAAACAAACGCCCAAAACAAATAATTCTGTAGGTCTTCGACACTGATGCTGACTTCGCTAGTTCCACTGAACGCGCCCTAGCTCAAGACACTAGGTGACTTATCCGCACGAGATCGCGAGTGAGCGCACCAGGTTTCCCATCCCTTTCAACTGCCACCCGACTTCGACCAGACGCTTCTCAACATATCGTTAACTTTCCAAATGTGTCTTCGGATCCCCTTCCTTTCTGAATACTTATTTGATCGGGTTGGTATTTTTCGGTTATAAGGTTGTCACTTAGAAAATATCTTTGGTATCTTTGAACCTACTCGCTACCAACCCACACGTTATTTCGAAGGGTAAAACGGATTATCAACACGTTCGAAACCTTGCAGCATCAACTTCTTGTTCCGGTTATTGAATTATCTTAATCTTAAGCACGTGTTATTTATGATTATTGTCAAGTGCTTTCTTTATTAAATGCTAGTGCGTTCTGTGTGTTTACTGAGTCACTGACTCAATTCACTATCGTTCTTTTCCATCTAAGTTAATTCCAGTCACTTTTACTAACACTCCCCCAACACAAAAGAGTCTTTCAGGCTAGACACAAACCTACCAAAGACTGAACGTTACAACCAATTGAGGTGCTCCAGAGTAGGAAGTTCAGTATAGCACGTTCAGCCGTGTATATAATTTGAACATTTTAGGCTGTAGCCAATGCCTATCTCTGTATTAAGTGGGAATTCCCGAAACAGTGCCATTTAAGCCCAATAGAACTAGATGAACACAAACGAACGTCTTGTATTCATAATTCGAAGCCAGGCGGAAATCAAATACAAAATGGCCGTTAGTTCATGAAAACGCCACACGATCTCTAATTATATTGATTTACTCTCACTAATACTTATCTACATTGAAACTATGCAACATTTTCTCAACTCAGTCGACTGGTAAACGTTTTGGCTACTCGTCACAGAATTTCATTTAGTTAGATCCTTTTCTTTTTGTTGGCTGTCTGGAGAAGTCCCATAGTGCTACTTATTTCTGGGAAATGAAGACCTGCCTACACTTGGGGTCCCTCAGGGTTCAATACTAGGACCTCTTCTCTTCTTGATTTATATTAACGATCTTCCTCAACAAGTTTCATCTGACTTATTGCTTTTTGCTGATGATGTGAAACTTTGGAGAGAGATACGTAATCATTATGATATACTTGTTCTTCAGAAGGATCTGACTCGACTTCAAAGTTGGGCAGACGACAACGGACTTACCTTCAACACTTTAAAGTGCAAGGTAGTCCATCTGAGACATGTTGCAGACTATAGTTATAACTTAGGTAACTCACCTCTAGAAGTTTCCCAAGTTGAAAAAGATTTAGGAGTGTTGGTACCCTACGACCTGAAATCGTATGCGAACTGTGACAAAAACGCCTCTCAAGCAAACCTTGCACTAGTAACATTGAAGCTCATTTTTGGCCAGTTTGACGGTAGAACCTTCCATATAATCTTCAACAGTTTTATTCGTCCCCACTTAGAGTACGGAAACATAGTATTTCCTCCCTCCCTCCAAAAGGATAAGGTCACTCTGGAACGTATACAACGTCGAGCCACGAAATCAGTTCGGGGTCTCAAATTCAAACCTTATGAAGAGCGCCTCAAATCACTTAACCTTTACCCGTTAGAGTATAGGCGTCTTAGAGGTGATCTTCTTATGACTTATAGTATCCTTAATACTTCTGGTCATCCCCTTAAACGTCTTCTTAAGCTTAGTCATAACACTAACCTGAGAGGTAACACCCAGAAATTGGAGAACCTACATAGCAGAACAGACTGCAGACACAACTTCTACTCCGTTAGAGTTGTCAAGTGCTGGAATTCGCTGCCGACTGAGCTAGTCCAAGCGACCTCCCAGGAGTTCTTTAAGAGGAAACTTAACTTATTCTTAAGGACTAAGGATAACATATTATTATGATTTACCAAATTCTTTTTTCCCCCTCTATTATCGTTCATATACCTAGGTTCTTGCCTGGAGGTATTGGTGATCCACTGCTACCAGACACGGAAGCCCGTTAAGCGAAAGCTTCTTCTATTCCGTCCTCAACCATCTGAACCATTTTGAACTTTTTAAATGGACTAACTATGTATCCTGAAGGTTAACTTATCGGTTCAAAGTGACTCGTGATGATCGGGAGATTGAGTGTGTTTTCTCGGTTAGCTTGTCGAAGGGCTATTTATTTATTTCGAGAGTTTTGTGCTGAAGCAGAACGTAACTAGGTGTTCATGCTTTTATCGTTTTCCTAGTCTTGGTAGAAGATGGAAATAAGTCAAGAAGTTGTAAACCTTTACGCCCTTTATATTTTGATTTTCAAGCATCTACACAAATGGTAAGCTTCATTAAGCGAATCACTGTTAAATGAAGGATCCTCGAGTATTAGATGCCATGTTACCATTTTATATCAGTCATTTTGGTAACCCTCATTCACGCACACATGAGTATGGTTGGTATTGCGAAGAAGCCGTTGAGAAAGCTAGAGGAGTACGTTCTATTTCTAACGTCTTAAAATCTTTCAGAATGTAGCTAGTCAGATAGGCGCTGACCATAAAGAGATCATTTTCACCAGTGGTGCTACAGAAAGTAATAACCTAGCTGTAAAAGGTGTTGCCAAGTTTTACTATCCAAAGAAGAAGCATATTATAACTACACAGATCGTAATGTGTTAGAGAGTAATTTCAGTTGTTTTTTAGGAGCATAAATGTGTATTGGATTCCTGTAGAGTTTTGGAAAACAGTGGGTTTGATGTTACTTATTTACCTGTTCAGAAAAGTGGAATTTTGGATTTGGAGGTACTAACGTTCATTTCTTACCATCCATTAAAGGTTCTGGAACGGTCTATCAAACCCGAAACGGTCTTGGTGTCTGTCATAGCAGTTAATAACGAAATAGGTGTTCTTCAGCCAATCGAAGAAATTGGAAGACTATGTCGAAGTAAAGGAGTTTTCTTCCATTCTGATGCTGCACAAGCTTTTGGAAAAGTGCCAATTGATGTTAATGCTATGAATGTAGGTACTGCTTCTTTTAAGGTACAAACGAGCGAATTTTTTAACTTCTTACTTCATGATTCTGACTATGCGGAGTCCGAAATCGTGACAGTTCAGTTTTACATAAGCTGGCATTCATGAGCAAACTAGTTTCTGCTAGTCATTGCTTTCGTCTTTAAGTACTTAGTGGTGCTTTTTTAAATCAGTTTGCCACATTTCTGGACTTGTAGTTTTGGCTGATACTCCCTAGCCTGACGGTATTTTCTATATTCTTGACGAATGTAGTCATTTAAAAAGTAGTGAGTTTTGTGTACCATCAGAATGTCCGAATAGCTATGTTGGGTCATTCAATGATGTTTTTGTGGTCAGTAAGTTTGTGTTTGGATTGACAAATTCTACTGTCCCTAGACACGCTTCGAGTTGTCTGGTAGTTTTTCAGTTAGTCTGACAAGCAATTACCGTCATGAAGTGTAATGTTAGATACATTGTTCTTAGAAGAAAGGCATACTCACTAAAATGGAAACACGGTAATTTGGTGCATCAATGGTCATTCTGATATCGCGGAGAATTCATCAGCCAGTTTGTAGACTGTATTGGAATATTTATGCGGATGTCTGTAATCACTCACAAAATGTCTGCACAGTATCACTCCTTAAATTTCTCTTTTGATAACCATGATATGAGTTGTGGTAATCATTATTGTGTTACTACATGGCGACTTACATTTTACAATTACGGATTTATTTATTGTCATTCATGTAATTCACAGTAGTCTTCTGAGTTAAGACAATGTTTCTTTACAGAATGTTGTTACATTTCACCATGAACTAGTTTGTTATAAAGGATGTAGCTATATTTGATTGGTTTTCTAGATATTCCTCAGATATTTTATCCTAGCTCTCGTTAATTACTTGTTTCGTCTTCAGCATTATCATCTGATTAGTCATCTGTACATAATGACTTAAGTTTTAAGATTAAGGGAAACTCCATCGGTATGCGTGTTATCTCAAACTCCTTATATTTGTTTAGTAGCTAAATCTGTAATATAATTGATTACAATCACTTTTGATACTAGTTAGCACATTGGAAGGCTCAACAACTAGTCTATGCAATTATATGTCCTGTTGTTTTTTATAACCTTGAAATTATTTTGATGTGAGATACGACGAACTATTAAGGAGATCCGATTGTATCCTCTGCGTTAAGTGTTTACCATCCTGATAGATCACTTATTTAGCTACCTAGTTACAAAAATCAGACCATTTTCGTATCCTTTTAATAAAATTTGCTGAAAGGTATTTTTGTGAAACTACTTTCGGTCTACTTATTGTTAGCACCTTGTTACTGCTACTAACTTGACCCCTACAACACTTTAGTCTATCTATACAAATTGTCAATTACAAAGTCATCAGTAAACTATAGGTGTTGAAACACTGAAGTGGTTTGGTATTTAATGGATACGATTTTTAAAAATTGACTGTCCAACGAGCGACATTAAGATATGTCTGACTTAAAATAGGTGAAACCTTTGTATAATACGTATTTTGTAAGCATTGGTGCCACAGTTCAAAGGATTATTTAAGCGTTTCACTTAGATTTTTCATATTACTAATATCATCACTCAGTCAATATATGAAGTTCACTCTAACTATGGATTATTAAGTTAACTACTAAATTCCAGGGTTGTTCAAACTCATTGAATTTAACTAAGCTTTTTTCTGACTTACTTAAACATCATACTTGCACTGTACGCCTTACTATTCAGTAATCACTTGATTTTGTGAGGGTAGATATCAGAAACTTTATTAGTGTGTGGTGGTTTATTGTTTTTCGTAACTATTACATTGTTGCGATGTGATAAACTTAGATATACTTTTTGTGGAATTCCTTTCTTCAGATTGACCTCATGTCCATTAGTGGTCACAAGATATATGGTCCTCAAGGCATTGGTGCTCTCTACGTACGTCGCCGACCTAGGGTTCGATTAGAAGCTCAGCAAAATGGAGGTGGACAGGAACGTGGGTTAAGGTCTGGTACTGTTCCTACGGCCTTAGTTGTCGGTTTAGGTGAAGCAAGCCGTTTGGCAAGCGAGGAAATGAAAGTAAGGTTTCAAAAAGAATATTATTTACTTCTTATGTGAAAACAAGATTAACTTATCGTCAGTGTTATTTATTTTGTTTCTTTTGTTAGGCTGAGATCTTGCTTTTCAAAATCAGTTTTTCCAATACATTTTAAAGGTCTTTGTCACTCAATTAATTTATCATGACTACCGTAAGTCACCCTAGTATTGGTGATACATAATTTCATATAATTCTACCTAACACTAACACTGAGCCAATTTTGTAAGTGAGTTTCGAAGTATTAATGAGAGTTTCAAACATCCCTCTCTAAGATAGTTCCCAGCCACAGCCGTGTCTAATTATTCAAGACCAGTCATGTCGTCTGGAAACATAGTGACTGTCAGCCTGAAATATCCAAAGTGATCAAGGGTTTGATGGAGGGTTCAAAGTGTCAAATACACCCACGGCCTAAACAAAAGCCAGTCCGTCTCTTTTGTATGGGTCTTCGTTGTGTCCAGCACACTAGGAAGTATAATAAAATACACAATTTAGGACTCATATATTAAGAAAATCTCACTTTGGTGTCTGTCAACTTTATTTTGTAAGCTGTTTTTTGGGAACGTACATGATAGTCGTTTCACTTCAGAATAACGTAATACAGTTCGCCATGCCTTCTAAATTATGTGAATGTCATTTAAATCATGTTTTTAGGACTTTAGTAGTTGATGTTCCTTTCAAACTTTCAATTCATTATAGATAACGATACTCACTGGACAGTGAGCACATGGATATTTTGATCAAAGTTGGTCATAACACAAAACGGTTAAGATGTCTGTCGAAGTATTCCACTTTGCTCTTTAGATTTTCAAACAATGGTTGTTAGAGTGTCATTACTTTCGTATGTTTCACTTACATGAGTCTTTCCGCTAGTGGATAAGAAATGCGTTAAATTCCTACAATAACTAGATGCCACTGTTTTTTTCTGAACACCAGGTTATTTAGCCGTTGCGAAGTCTCCGCTAATGTTTTTTTAGGAGAAACTAAGTGCTTGACTATCGAAACTAATATGAAGGCAAAAGACAGTTTCTTGTGTTGTATTGGGGCTCGTGCATTCGGGCCATCTATTGTGGGAGCAGTTGTATTCTCTAGTCCGATTATTGGTTTATTGACCTAGGTTGCCTTCATAGGAATAATTACTTGTTAGTCATTGACACAATGATCTTTCTTCGACTTATTCCTCAATGGCAGTAAAATAACGACCAAGATGAATACCTAACGCTTATTGATCTAAAATACTGTTTTCGATGCTCACTTGTCCGATAGCTAGAAGAAAACAAGAACACAACATGTAGATAAACCACCGTAGAGTTCGATTCACAGCTCAAACTAGCGTGATAACATGCATTAATTTTCACTGCAAATCATCATAAATAAGAAATCACAGTATGTGCACAACTACCCCTTAAGCGCAATCGAACTAAGTATTAAGTCCATAATTATTTCACCATAACTTTAGTAAGATAAACAAAGGACAATAACTGATGCGTCAAATGAAGGCTTACAACTAGGATAATGTAGGACTACCATCATCCAAATGTCTAATAATCATGCAACCAAAACACGAACGATAATCATTCATAAGAGTCCCTAAAGTTTTACCTTCACAATATTCCACTTATTATAGCAGAAACATAAAATATGTTCGTTGCATACTTGATTGTGATAAGAATAGTGGAATATATCCCAAAAGAGTCTTCATCCGTGCTCACAATCTCATCATCGAAAACTAATCTCAGTATCATGACTTGATCAGAAGTTGATACTTGCGCATATTATAATGTGCGCGTCTCTGTTAACCAGCACAGTATCATAAAGTACGCATTGGCAATCCCAATGGACTGTCTTATATACATTATAAGCTTCAAGCTAGTACTACAATATTAAGTCTTTCCATTTATTGCACTTCATTTAACTGTTCATCCAGGTAAATAACACTTATTCTCGACTGGTCATAATATGTATTCCATTTGACTTCAAGTGTCTCTAAATTACCACTAATGCAGTAATCTGACATGTTTCTGATCGTAATTGGTTTCTTCTCTGCTGTATGAGCTGTGCAATTGTGCAGTATAGATAGGTCAATTTTATTTTCTGTGTTGTAATTCATGTTATTATGGATCGCAGCAAATATTATGATGTGCTCATTTTGTATTTTTATTTTTATCCCATGGGATCGTAAGCATACAACTTTGTTTAGGGTCACATGAACTCATAATCATAAGACGTTAGGGGTACTTTAACGATAATAATATGAGATTGCTTTTAGGATTAAAAACGTTGGTATTAATTACATGCGATCTAAGTAGCACTGTTCATGTAATATGAAGAATATCCCCTTCTAAATGGACTTTGCAATCTAATATTAATTAACCCTCTAGATACCTTGTTCTACTTTGACTAAAAAAACGCTCTATTATCGGAAGAACATCTAAGAATGTATCAGAGCTACATATTGATATACAATTTTGCTTATCTTCCGTCTGAATAATTAGTTTAATAGCAGAACTGGATAATTTCTACTTTTTCCCAATAGTGTTTACTTATCTCTGAGGTGCACAGTGTGAGTAAACGTAGTTATGTCACTTCAAAGTTATTAACAAATAATTTCATTTTCAACCTATCAGTTGTTTTTAAAAAAACTATTATGTCCATAGAAATTAACTATTTGACTTCAGTTTTTGTCTGTTTGTCACTTATCAACGTCTTATATACTGTGTTATTAATAACTGAAACCTGTTTTTTCAGATATCAGTAATTTTTTCAAAACATTGATTCATTAATACAAAGTTGTGCCTGTTTTTATAAATCAATACAGGATGATTATGAACATGTTTCCGCTTTAAGTAAACGTTTAATCGATGGTATCACTTCCAAAATTCAACATGTTACCCTCAATGGTGATCCAATTCAACGTTATCCAGGCTGTGTAAACTTTAGTTTTGCTTACGTAGAGGGTGAAAGCTTGCTTATGGCTTTAAAAAATGTTGCTTTATCATCTGGCAGGTGATTGCAAATTTTTTGTAGTTGTTTCCAAATCATATAAGTCTTTTTTTGTATGATATATACAGAAATAAACCTGACTTAGTTTTTATGTATTTACTCTTAAAGTAATTGTTTTAATTGAATAGAATCTAAAATATGTTAACCCCTTGTATTATGAATAATACTTCCAAGTATTAAGCCATTTACCAATTTCTCTGAAATTCGTCTGCCTAAAAAGTAAAAGTCGTTACAGTTACTAATAGTTTAATGTCTTAGTCTCCAAAGCAGACTTGTGCTTATGGGTACTCGGTTTAGGCTTATATCAACTTAAATAAATGACTCCAAAGAATGTATGGATAACTCAGTAATCAATACATAACTAAACTCTTCACTCTCATAATACTTTGAACACAAACCATTTAGCAGTGGTTTTGTGACGCTGTAGTCTAAGTGGTTTAAGCGTTGAATTCTGAAGATTATGGGTAATAAGTTTGAAACTAAATTACCATACTATTTTTCTTATCGTCAAAGTTTCCTTTCCGACTCTCATTCAACAAATACATCTCAAAGTTTATTGCATAAGTGTATTGACATCCAGCAGTTGAACATGGAACTGTTTTAATAACAACTTCTTTTATGTGGAACATTTATCTGTGTTATATTCCAGTAGAGGGATGATGGCCAAACATTAAAATACCAACGACCTTTAGCGACTTTAGCAGTGACCTTGATGTTAACCAAACGAAAATATTCTAACAGTTCAGTTCACAAGTCGATCTAAGCTAGACCACCGATGGAGACCCAGAACCACAGGACAGCCGTCCAGTCCTAGTATGGGACCCGTGAGCAGTGTGCATCCACAATCCCACACGCGAGACTCGAACCAAGGACCTTCGGCCTCACGTGCGAACACTTAACATTTAGACCACTGAGCCGGCATGCAACGGTGTAACTGTCTAACTTCAATCGACTCATGATCTTGCTCAATCTTTTATTTATTGTCTGAGGTGAATGACTGTCTTATATATATATATATATATATATGTCGGTTAAGAAACGAAATCAAAAATAGGCAATCAGGATGAAGCGTTAATAAAGGAACTTCAAATTATAGGAAAATGACAGAGATACTGTAGATTAAGAGTTCAAACAACTAATGAACTTATTAGGAGTAACTGTCCATAATTCAGTCTGCACATCATGGTACTGTAATCCGGAAAGACCCTAACTTCTAGCTCTAAAAATGTTGAAACGTTACTCCTAACCTTAGTACTCTTAAATTCTAGCTCACTAATCCCAATCATCTGAACCTTGACATTCCTAAATCTAACACACAAAACTTAACAGTTTATTCCACAAAATATCCCTATCCAGTCCTTTCACATTACGAAATATACTTAAATTCATGAGTTCCAGCAACAAGCTATCCTCATCAGCGTTTTAAATTTGCGCGAATGTTTAGCAACAAAGAGCTTAATTTCGATTCGTTGTTAAAGGCCGACGGTATTATGTAGTTTTACCTGGGTGATTGACAGATGTACTTGTTATGGTTTTCTCTTTTCAAAATTGCCGTCGCCAGTTGTTATTACTGGTGGTTGACTGTTATGACTGAATCGCCAATTGTTGTATATGTTCGTCATTGTCATATCAGAGTCCCTTATTATTTATACTTGTAAAACGAGGAACCACTGTAATTTCCACGACGCGAAAAACACTAAGACTGTTACAAGTGAAGGATTTATTAAACCTGAAACACAATGATGATCCCATTCGAAAATGCACTCATTTATAAACTGATTGTTCATCCATTTTGATTACTTATTAGGATGAAATCACATATGAAAAATACCGTAGTTTATAACAAATCACATGCTTCGTGTCATGCCGAGCATAGTTCATGTTAATTTAATACAAGAATATCATATGTTATACAGAATAAAATATCACACTGGAAGTCCAAACTAAATGCTGCATTGAGTAATTATCACATTGAATTAATAAAACGGGAATAGTGTTGAACAAGAAGTCACAATGGGTAAAAGAATGTAATTTTGTCTTTCCATCTCGTCATATCAGTACTTTTATTTATTAATTTGTAGTTATGTACAAGCAATCTATATTAGTCCGGGCGTAGTAAAAATTATCAATATGTCAGGAGATTGGTCAGATATGTTATTCGGTTTTTTTTAAAGGACTATTCGTTTTATCTATTAGTTAACTTTCATCTATAATCTTGTATTATGTTGATTTCATTTTAGTGCATGTACATCTGCTTCACTAGAGCCATCTTATGTTTTAAGAGCAATAGGGACTGAAGAGGATTTAGCACATTCTAGTATTCGATTTGGTATCGGACGATTTACCACTGACGAGGAAGTTGATTTTACAGTCGCTGAACTATCTAAACATGTTCAACGGCTGCGTGAAATGAGGTTAGTTTTTTAATCCTTTCAAAATTGTATACTAAATATATCATTTCTTGATGTGATTAATCTTTAATCATTTTAAAATTTCGCTGTTTTACTTTCCTTGGTTGATTTCTTTCTATCTCCGCTTAACTTTGTTATTGTTTGATTTTTTTTTATTTCAGTCCTTTGTGGGAAATGGTATCGGAGGGAATCGATATAAAGTTTATACAATGGACACAACACTGATCATTTGTTTCACCATATCAGAAGCTTTATTGTACTTTTTCCCTTCATCTTTACCACTAAAAACTTTCATATTCTTTTGTTTTCTAAGTAAAATTGAAATTTTAACAGACATTCAACTAGCAGTTGGATCATGAAGCTTCAAGAGAGATATTTTTCTGTTTCTTTGAATATTTCAAAATAAGTGATAATTATTCAAAATTTTCACATTGTAAATCACTTCTTATTTTAGTTAATTCCAAAGTAATATATGTTTTTGTGTGGAAAGCATTTGAATAGTCGAATAAAAAGACGAAGATTATCAAAACTATGTGGTGTATTAGCTCTCTCTTTATATATAGGGTCGATTAGAAAGATGTAGTATAAGTATAAGCAAAGAAAATTACGTGGAAAGCGTTATGAAACTCACCACGCTGGATAGTAAACTTATAGTATTATGTAGGTTTAAGGTGAGCACAAACTGTTTCTGAATACTTAAAAGGGGTTCGAATTTTCGTATAGCCAATTCCAAAGTCCGAATTAACAACACCGGATATGAAGATATCATTGGACTACATGGACTAAGAGAAAGGAAGAATAATAGCGAGAGATTAGTAAATCCATATGAATTCAACAGATTGGTTATAGGCGGCAGTCAGCGACAACGTAGGACCAGGCACATATATGCATCGGTCCAAGTTGCCATACCTCGTTAGCACAACAAAATAAACACCGGATCCATAGAAGTAATTAATTTAGTGGTGGTAGTATATAGAGAAAGGTTGTATAGAAGGATATAGTATAGGAAGGAAAAAAGTTATGAAGCAATTTTAATCTCAAGGTTTAAGGGAAGATAAAGAGTGTATACACCTACGCCATTGTGATCGATCCTGAGCCATGTCACCTAGAGTCTCCAACCATTGGTTACGATAGTCACGCGAACCCCAACCAGGTAGTCTGCACCTACCAACATGGCTCAGACTAGAAAATAGTGACTTCAAGCACTGATGCCATGTTTTGGTTTGGCCGCCCCTAACTCTCTTCCAACCATCCCCAATACTAGTCAGCATAGCGCGTCGTGGTAATCGGTGTTCAGGCATACGTAACACGTGGCCCAACCATCTCAGTCGATGAAGATTCATGACCTCATCAACTGATTTACCATCGTTACCTAATACCCTGCGTCTAACCTCACTATTACTTACCCGGTTATCCCAGCAGATGCGAGCAATATTTCTAAGGCATCTGTGGTCAAATACTAGTAACGCATCCCAAACATCCTAGCATTATTACTGAGTTCCAACAGAAGACTGCATTTTGTCAGTGTCTTCACCAAACAGGACTATGTCATCTGCGTATTCTAAGTCGATAAGTGAACCTCCTGGTAGAAGATCAATTCCTGAAAATTCAATCGACTAGAGTGTTATTTCCAGCAACAGGTCTATAATGAAGCTAAACAAAAATGGGGATAGTGGACAGCCTTGACGGACACCACTTGAGGTTGTAAAATCATATGACAGTTCGCCATAAGCTCTCACTCGACTGGTAGTGTTCGAGTAAAGAGCCTTCACAAGGTTTATGTACTTCTGAGGTACACCTTTCAATGGCAGACAGTTCCACAGAACCTCTCGGTCTACAGGGAAATTCAAGGAACATAGTGGATACGCAGAAGCAAACAAGTAAAGAGGAGCATTAGAGCCGACAAGCAGAAATATGTGGAAGAGCTAACAACGACAGCGGAAAATGCTGCAAGAGAAGGAAATATGATGCAGCCATATGGCACGACGAAGAAACTAGCAGGGAAATATGGTAAACTAGAGAGACCGGTCAAGGACGAAAAAGCTTAGCACTGAAATTCAAGGACAGAGGAACAGATTATTGGAACACTCCGAGGAACTCTTGGATAGACCAGCCCTATTGAACCCGCCTAATGTCGAGGCAGCTCCTACGGACCTTCCTATAGATATCACTCCGCAAACGATCAAAGAAATCAGGATAGCCTTCAGACATCAACAGCAGGAGAGCAGAAGCACCTTATAGTGCACCGGATGAAGCACTGGAGTAAGACATGACATGGGCAAATGTGAGAACTGCAGTGGCATCACACTGCAATCGGTACCAATAAGAGTTTCCAACAGAGTGTTGTTGGAACGAATGAAGGATTCAGAAGACGCTCAACTTCTAGATCAACAAGCCGGATTCCGTAAGGATCGGTCGTGTACAGACCAAATCGAGACACTAGGGATCATTGTTGAACAATCAGTTGAGTGGAACTCGTCACTATACATCAACTTCCTTGATTATGCGAAAGCATTTGACAGTGTGGATAGGAGGATATTATGGAAACTTCTTCGACACTATGGTGTACCTGAGGAAATCGTACAGAATTCATACGGCAGACTACACTTCAAAGTCATGCATGGAGGACAACTGACGGACGCATTCTAAGTAAGAACCGAAGTTAGACAAGACTGCTTCCTCCCCCCCTTTCTAAGGAGGAAATTAGGAAGAGACGTTGGTAGTGTGTAGAACACACATTGAGGAAATCAAACTGTATCACGAGGCAAACGCTAACTTGAAATCGTAAAGGGAAATAGAAAAGAGAAAGATCAAAGAACACGTTACGTCAGAATTTGGAAACAGAAGTGAAAAGGATGAATAGTAGCTGGAGAGGATTGACCAGGACAGTTCGATGGCGAGTGCTGGTGGGTGGCTTATACTTCTCCATGAGCGGTAATAAACGTAAGTAAGTATGTATATAACCAAAATTATCACAAAATAATAGTAATTAGTATCACTTTCGATCTCAAGATATTTTTTCTTTTAATCATTCTCACTGTCCGACGTCAAACCATCAGTGTTGAACTCACTCTGAAAGCGGCTATATGTTATATAACAGTCCAAACGATCGAAATTAATGTTTAATTTGTATGTATTTAATCAATATAAAAGTATGATAAACACCATAAACATTCATTCTGTTAATATGGAATGAAGTGTTAGTGTCTTTTTTCTTTCTCAGATAGTTGTAAACAGGATAATAGTGTTGGTCGTCTTTTCTTGATCTTTAGTCAGCTACCAGTATGTAGTTGTCATAACTAGGCCTATATGTGATCGTGATGTACAATAAGATGAAAACGTATCAGAGGGAAACATTTAAATAAGGCCTAAAATAAACATTAGTTGTGTCCAGGGCATGTGATCGAATTCCAGTACAATATAAATTGTAAAAATCTGGAGAAAAATATTGTCCATGCAAATACCTCTCAACAATGTTGTTAAAGTTTATCCTTCGCATCTGTCCGCCTATTCAGTAAATCGTAAATTTCACAATAACACTTTGTCAGAACATGGACGCAGATTTTTCATGCAATTCTCAGCAAGATAACGAATTGCGGTTAAAGAATAGTTTATAAAGTAATAATTTATTCAATTCCTATCAAAGATAAAGTATGAGCAGTTAGATTACTTATTACATCCTTTTTTTCAAAGTTATTAAATCTGTCTTAAACAGATAGAAGTAGATACATACTGTTTATTTCACTTACCATATTGCATGTACAATGTGTAGATTTAATGAATGAAGAATAGGTATTCGGTGTGACCCCCATCTATTTAATGGTGAAAAGCTCTAATATGTCCCATTCAAGGTATAGTTTTATAGGCACATGGTTTCTAACAGAAGCACCTGTCATCCTACTCATTCAGACACAACAAAAGTTTGATGTTACTAACGAGGAAGTGCATTAAATTGCCTACTGAGAATATATTGGTATCTTGATGACAGTTGTTAATGTCGTTAACTATAACTCGTGCACACAAATAAACCACAATCAACTTCACGTATTTGTAACTACTGATGGTAACTATTTGACCAGTCATAAAATGTAACAAATTTGCTAATAAGTGATAAGAAAGCAAAGTGAATATACACAACTGATTATTTTTAATAAGTATTAAACTCATTTTCTTGGTTTCTGATTGCTCTTTCACAATAATTCGACACCAATTATTACGTTTCCTTCACTGAGTATTCTGTGAACTTCTAACTACAAATCAGTGTATCCACTACTTATGGTCAACGTTATGTTAATCATATAGATTTTTTAGAATCAGATGTTTTGAAAATCATAGTCTACATTATTTCTATGATGTCAAAATTTCTGAAACTGTTTTGTTGTAACTGACAAACCTAATTTCAAATCACACAGTTCAGAATGGTTTGAAATAATACTAAATTGGAAATTATAAGGTAACTTATTTTTAGTTATATATTGTAAAAGTACTTTGTAAATCCTATGATCTCAATGAAGATTTTGTCATCCCTAATTGTGGGGGGAACAATCAATATGGCTGCTAGGACAAAATATCAATTAAAACAACATAGATACAGTTCAAGAAGAAACATAGAAACCCAGTTAAGGCGACAAAAAATGAGAAAACTGTTATGAAATGAAATATTACAATCTCAAAGGCATCAAAAAGATTAAAGATAATGTACAAGTGAAGAAACCATTAAGAACAAGTTGCGAACGCATGCATGGAGGGATTTTCACATGCGAAACCTTTAAAATGGATCTTAAACTGGTTACAGTTTACTTATCAGATGAAATATTGGGGGAAATCTTTTGCTGACGTTCATACCTTTGGTAACCTTTGATTCTCTAAGCTGTGACGCTTTCATTGCTGTAAGCGGCAAATATGTTATACGAAATGGGAAATTCAAGCTTCTCAATTAAACTATCCAACTTATAAAATGCAACGCTACCAAAAGAATTGTGAGCATCTCATTAAACTTAATGGAATTTGACATAATAAAAGGAGGACCATATTAATATTCTTTTGTTCATTGTTCAAAAGAATGATTCATGATAATAAGTTTCAAAATCATCAAATCGATCTTATATTTAGACACGAGATAATTTTTAAAGGACAAACTTTAATACTCAGTAACATATATGATTTATACAGTTGTAAAAGAATACAATTCTATGAAAATATCACCAAGTTTATACTTATATCAATGTTGTTTTAAATTATTATAAAAATGGTCACATTTTCAATCATCATTTAAGCGTTTTATAAAACTAATCATCTAATAATAAATGTAGACACGATTGAAAGATACTTTGAAGTCTAATCCTTCATTAAATCGTACTTTAAGTTAGCATTAAAATTAAGAAAATATATTACTTTATGATCAGTTAATGAAAGTTTCTTCTTCTGTGATTCATTTTTTTAAACAGTCTTATAAATAATTTACAAGTGTATATGAAATGTAGCTAACAGCAAGATCCAAGTCATGTATTTTGTTCTATTTGAGAACCATCAAGTAGATATATTTGACCTCACAGTCATATTCCATCTATTCTATACAAAATCTACAACAATTTGTGTGCCAAAGAGTTCTTAATGGGGTGTACATGTGCTAACATGGATTGATCAAACATCCTGTCTGCAGAATTTAAAATGTATGAAAGAATTTATATCAGAACAGGGTTTGTGGAGATTTTAGTAGTTGGAATCATGAATCAACTGAAGCTAGACAACCATGGAAAACCTGGAAGCACTGGACGGCCGTTTCGTCCTATTATGGGACCCCTCAGCAGCGCGCATTCACTATCTCGCCTCGCGGGATTCGAACCCAAGACCTATCAGTCTCTCCCACGAGCGCTTAACCGCTAGATCACTGAACCGGTATCCAACGGTGTTAATGTCTAACTTCGGCTGTATTTGAACAGTTGGATATACGTTGAAATTATGAAACTTTCGAAGACTACATGAGACGGATCGAAACCTGTTGCATATCTAGGAAAGGTTTTCATGATGATAAATTCACCAGCTAAGAAGCGTATAACCTGCTAAGAAATCTGGTTTTTCCAGAGGAGCCAATTTCTTTGTCACATGAAGATCTCAAGGAGCAACTGCTTAGTCATGTGCAGTGTGCTAGTTTTGGGTGCAGAAAGAGATCAAAGTCTCATAAAGTGGTGTGTTAAAATGCTCAGATAGTTAAAGACTTATACTTTAACTACAGAAAAAAGGCTAAAAAGCTATTTTAGAGATCAGTTGGAAATTCCATTTCGTGATCGGTTGATTACTCTGATAAATATTTTGAATCTAGAAAACAAATCAACTCAAAAGACTGAAAGTTCATTCCAAGGAATTAAAACAACATGCAGCAACTATGAGGCAATGGATGAACATGATTTTCAGTCAAACTTTCTAATGCTTCGCTTAGTCTTCGTGATGAACTTCACTCTCGTGGTCGCTCGAGCTTGCATTTGGTCATTTGGTCCCTATAGGGAATATCGTGAAAATATGAAAAGTAATTCAGCGAGCAATTACAGAGCAGATCAAAAGTTTATCACAGACTTAATAGACGTTTATCCTAAGGTCTCTTTTACTTACGTCATTCATGTGCCTTTCTTCGTGTCAAATACTTTAGGTGTGGAAAAATGGTATACATTCAGTTGGTTTGTAGAACTACCGTCCATTTCGCCACAAGTAATGCAAAACTTTGTAATTCAGACCCTGACAACTCACTAACTACGTAATCGAAGTGCGGAAAATTACGCATGAATCTGAAGTCCCCTCATTCTCATGTGCAAACAAGAAATTTCAAGACATCAATTTTACTCCTGCCGCACACTTCTGTGTCTCGGGGAAAAGAGCGGATGAAGCCCCTTAGTGCGGGATTTATAAGCCGTACACAGAAGAAACAATGATGAAATTGCATAAACAAAACAATCTTCGTTCGAGAAATCCGTTTCCACAATCTGTGGAAGGTCTGACAAAATAGGTCAATGGATCTGTGGTCCATATGCGAGCAAGTCACAGCAACATAACATGTTACAGGGAACCAGGTGAGTCTGCTACAATTTTGATTGTTAGTTCTAATAGCAATGTGTATATTCTAGAACCTGCAGAGTCTACATTCAATACATATTCGGACAGATACATGATGAATCTAAGAAGAAGCACAATGGACAACGACAATCTGGATTCCGATTAGGACTGTAGTGGACATGGTATTTGTTTGAACTAATGATTCTTTTGTACTGGATCCTCCCGCTTATTACGAACTACAAATACAATAAATTCATTTGCACTCATCTAGTTCTACTTTCTAAAAATTGCAATATTTTGGAAATTCCGAGTAATGGCCGAAATTTGAAGAATGTCTAAAAGTAGTGGAGATATAAGGCTGGCGATCTAACTAAATAGCGATGCTAGAAATATCCACATTCGAGTAATGGATCAGTTATGGATTTGCAATTGTATTTTTGTTATGTCCCGCAGTTCAAACACCTGCTCATTGTGTTTTTATGTAAATGTACGGTGAATGACTACCATTCATCATTGATACTGATCTTGTAAATCCTGACGGACTTGACTAACTAAACGAATTTAGGCAAGATTTTTCGTCGCTACTTAGCACCTGATTTTTTTTAATGCTTTTTCGCCTTTCCAATGTTCTACCAAGCATCCGAATTTGTTAAATATTTGTTTTGTCTTTTGCCCAACATCACTTCAACTTTTCCTATTCATGTTCACTTCAAACCTATTCAACATTTTGCTTTTAACATGCAACTTTATCAATGGATGATGTTATTTCAGTTGTTTTTTTATTTAATCCTAGTAGATCGAAAGGAATCAGCTCAAGATGTTTTAAATATGGCAGTTTCTGCTTCCCCTTGTGGAGATGCTTCGTTTTATCCGTAACGGAATATTGTCTGCCTAATCTTAGGGTCTTTTCATCGGGAAATAATTATTACTCGGTTCTTAATATCCGTTTTGTAGTACCATGGTTATTTATGGATATTAATCTGCTGGAAATGAACCGTAGCGCAAACTTAAATTAGGGCCACATCGTATTATGATTACCTCGGCTGGCTTACCCTAATTTAGTAGTCAGGGTGTTATGGTACATTGGTGCTTTTAAATAACGGATAAAATCTCACCCGCTCCATTTTGTCTAGTCTGCAGTAAATATCGGAGAAAAGAATCAGTAGACGTTGTGTCTAGCTGCCGAACGACCTAGGCCATATGGCTGACTAATAAGTACAGGACTGTTGCCACAGCCGCATCAAGCCAATCAATTACAAATCTTGACAACATATAAGAAGTAGAAGGCGTTCCTTTAATGTCGATTGCTGTGTTTTACCCACTAATTCCAAGTAGCATCCTTAAGGTTTTCTCTGAAACTTTGCACGAATGGGTCTTTTAATGGGTCCCTAACGATATTTAATACATTGTGAGTCATTAAACTATCTCAGAATCGTCTATTTTTGAAGGTGCCAAACGTCAATAATTTTTAGGCGTTCTTCATAAGTCTTGAAAAATTTCCACATTGGTGTCGTAGCTTTACACTAGATTTGCCTAAGTGTTTTTCTCTTGTAGTGGGAAAGAAAACACTATGTTTCTTTACTTTATATGGAGCTGAATAAGATAGTCAAAAATTTATTTCAAAGTTCCACAGTTAAAGCCGCTATCAACACATTTTTAATTCTGCGACACTTTAAGGAGGGACTTTCCCATGTTGTGTTTATGTTTTGCAACAAATTTCAGACTGGTGACTTCACGTTTCAAAGTGTAAAATTTTGGCTTGTTGTTACCTGCTTACTTTTGACGTTGAGTAAATTCTTTCTGAAGTTTGAATTTATCAACGTAGTTATAAAATTCTTTTAAAAGCATAATGTCGCTAGAAGAAAGTAACAACTAAGAGGATACTTGTTGAGGAAGGTCATTCTTATAAATTAGAAAACATGAGGTCCTAGTACTGAATTCTAAAAGATACCTAAGGTATGAGACACTAAATAACAATATATGTGACAAGGAAAGATATCAAGGATTATCTATCTCACTGAGTTCGTGTCTATGATTAACATTCAGGCAGTTTATACGAATTCACAGATAGGTCAATCACTACGATTTTGTGGTGAATTACGAACTTTACAGATTAATTGTAGAGATTTGTTTCATTGTCTTTGTATACCAAGTAGGCTGCAAGCCAAACAACCAGGTTAACTGATTGAAGTAAGGACTTCGGTCCAAATAACTACCTTTTGGGTTTCTTTTCTCTTAACTCGTCCTAGGAGTGTTAACCTTATTGAAATTGAGTTGACGGAATAAGTTATTCCAAGTGGCGTTTTAAGTAATCGCTCAAAGATGATGTGACCACGCAACGATTACAAGTTCAATGTATCACCACCATTCGCGGTTGGGACTAGAGGAGCATGTTTTTTTTGTATGTTTAAAGATGCGACAGATATTCAGGGTTTGACAACGCTTTTGTCTGTTGCACAGTTAAAAATGAGGGATAACAAAACAGTGTAATCACAAGTCTTTGATGAATGAGTTTGAAGGTTTATTTTAAAGGTTGCCAATATACTGAGAATCGTTTGTTCTAATCTGGCTAGTAGGTGGGTCTCTCGGCGTGACATGGTGTGGATGGATGACCGAGCGCCTTCAGCTAGTGTGTGTATGGTGAAAACAATGAGGCCAGCATTCATTTCGAATATTTAAAGGGCTATTCATTCCATTTATTTATTTACCGCTACCGTTTCAACATTTGTTCACATCAGCATTGTCGTCTTTTTAAACCCACTTCGTAATAAAGTGAGAAAATGAAGTTTATTAGTTTAAATTCTAACCTCACGCCAGTTTCGAGGCGAAGTTTAGGATCAAGCTGTTGGTTAAATTTATATGATGTTTGTTAAATAGCTAATAGGTAAAAGCCAAAACGACCGCCACAGACGAGCTTACTGCGTTACTGTGATTAAGCCGTCGTATGAGTGTTTGGACTTATCATGTCGACAAAATATGATAGGGCAATTACAATCTTCTCTCCGGACGGTCATCTCTTTCAAGTAGAATATGCCCAAGAGGCAGTCAAAAAGGGTTCAACTGCAGTAAGTAGATTTTTCAAGTTTCCTATTATTTAGATTGGTGTTAGAGGGAAAGACTGTGTTGTTCTGTGTGTCGAAAAAAAGGCAACAACTAAGTTACAAAATGACAGAACTGTCAGAAAGATAGCTCTTTTGGATGATCACGTCGCAGTCGCTTTTGCAGGTAAACAATGTTATATACTATTTACTTCTTAGGACTCACTGCTGATGCTCGTATTTTGATCGGCCGGATCAGGGTAGAATGTAAAAGCTATAAACTTACTGTCGAAGACCCTGTGTCTCTGGAATATATTGCCAGGTATATGGCTCAGTTGAAGCAGAAGTACACTCAAAGTAACGGTCGTCGCCCTTTCGGTGTGTCAACATTAATTTGCGGGTTTAATCAAGATGGTACTCCTCATCTTTACCAGACGGACCCTTCTGGAACCCACTTTGAATGGATAGTAGGATGATATCAACTTACGTTCATTTTAAGGCTAATGCTATTGGGAAAAACGCAAAAGTCGCACGTGAATTTCTAGAAAAAAACTATACTGAAGACGCTGTTGCAGATGAATATGGAACCGTCAAACTCGCAGTTAAAGCGCTCATGGAAGTAGTTCAGTCAGGCGCTAAATACATGGAGTTAGCTGTGATGAGATGGAAAGCACCATCCAAGCCTGGAGAACCATTTGTAGATTGGCAGGTATGTTAACTATATATTTCCCGGTTTCGGGGAAGCCACAATAATTTTTTTTTGGGGAGATAAGACAAAAGCCTCATAACTTTACCGGACTTTGGGGAAAACCCTAGGATTCCCTCAAATTCCGTAGATTGGGAGGGATGTTTTCAATTTAATTTGTTTTTCAGTTTTTTCTCACTTCACTTACTCTCGATTAAGATTAATAATTCCCAAGTGTTTGGGATATCATCATAAAGAAGTTGATAAACAGAGCATTACAAGCGCTTCGGTGTATCTAATATCAAGCCTTTGTTTAGTATTTTGCTGTCTGCTCATCTCATGTTCTTAGGAAACTTTTGCAATATTCCGACGCTTTTGTTGTGAAATTACAGTGCATAGGTTAGCTTTTGTTTCTATCTTGGTGTTGAATTCAACTTATGAGTACCATATTGACTTATAAATCAAGTGCTGGGACTTCAAGATATTTCCTATATGTTTACTCCTACTATTCATAAATGTCAATCTCCTTCAAAAGTACGTGGAAGAAGTTGAAAAAGACTTTAGGATAAGTGCAAAGTCCGGTATCTTTTGTTTTCAACCAAAATAGGTTCCTTTTTGTTGTATATATGCAATCGCTTTAGGGCAGTCAAACCAAACTTCGACATTGGCCCGTGACGTCATCAGTTGTTGGCCCAAGGCATTTTAGCAGAAAGTATTTGGTAGAAGTCTTCGTCTTCAGTAATGGAAGACGTTGGGTAACGGTTCAAGACTGGACACTGGCGCCAATAAATCTATTCTTTACCTCTTCATATATTGAGTTCGAATGTTCTTTCACGCATACCTTCTCACTGTATTTTTGCACCATATTTTCAATATTTAGTCTTCACCAGTATCATTGTTACTAAACTTTTTCTATTCCTTTACTAATCTTATAAATATTGACCCATCGCACTGTAGTATGCCAACACATTTGTTTCAGACTCTGTTGTTTTTTCATGACTGACTGATTTTTATCATCTATTATAGTTAATAAAAGAAATCCTGATAACTACAGGAAAATAGTTTTAATTAACACATTTTCTGTAGTTTCCGTAGTCTAGTTCTAAATCACAAACAAATCTAAAAAAGACGGGTTTAGGAAAAGTTGATAGCATAACTGTCGAATTTTCATTGTACTAAACTACTGCCCAAATCATATAATGAGGAAAGGCAATATATGTGAAAGCGTTGGTTGTCTAACTTTTGGGCACGAATTCTTGATACGATAAATGAGTTTATAGCTGTACAAAGCTATCGAATGAAGCGACGGGTCATATATATTATACTTGTTAGGCTATGGCAGCAAAGTTTCATGTAGGGCTTAGAAGTTTGAAGATTCAGTACTAGATAATGTAGCTGCTTACATATTTCCTGAATTATTCCGGAACGTGTTTTTTTCATAATTAGCCCTCAGCTAACTGTTAAAATCACTTTGGAAATTTAGGGTAGTATGATCAACATTCAGTAACCATTCTTATTGTTTGATCATCCTATTCTTAATAGTGTTTGTAATTTTAGTTTTTCTTTTTGATCGTCTCACTGTTCTTGTTTTTACCGCTGTAATCGTTTGTGTTGTCTTCATTCTTTTCATCAACTCTTAGTCTCCGTTTTCAAAGTTTGACGGCCTAATTCAGTACTTATGTGTATCAGGTCCCATGTATTTTTATATTAATCATAGGCTAAATGTATTTGTCAATCTGTAGAATAGTCTACCATTGAAATGCTTATCGTATCATGGGACTTGTTGATTTTATTAATTTCTAAATGATTAGTCTGTGAAATTCGTTTTTAGTGGTGTAGTTGTGCTTCACATTCGGTCATTTATATGGTTTGTACTGTCTTGTCCATAATAGTTCTTTAGTCGCTGTTAATTTGATTGGTCAAATGTTTGGCATTCGGGAAGATCGAATTGTGGTTTTCGTAAGCTAATTTAGTCTCAAAATACAGTGTTTTTGTTGGATTTTATTCGTTAGTAATCAGACATAGTTGGTCAACATAAATTTATAATTTTTATTCTAAAGGATTACTTATCAATCCGGCTAAACATCTTTGCTATCTTATTCGTAAATGTATAATAAACTTAATATATATAAACGGCTTTATACAGATAGCTGACTAGATAAATGAAGTGTTTGTAATAAGTATTCTTGTAAATTGTGAAACATGATACCAACTTGTTATTTTGTCATCAATGTACAAGCTGTTTACTTGTTTTTCATTGTGCGTTTGAACGAGTGTAGATACAATAACATGCATATCAAGTTATCACACATGCTTTTTTCATCTTCCAGATGCTGGAGTTTGCTGATATCCAAAGGTATGTTCAGGCTATCGAAAAAGAGAGAGAGGAGGAAGCTGAAAAGAAGCGTCAGAAAAAGGAAGCAGCCGCAACATTGTAACAGCTGATTATTGAGATAAAGGTGTACAATTCCGGTTTTCATGTTTTATACATATATAACAAGATTCGTTTGATTTTGTTATAAAATATAGAACAAAGTTGAATGTTTTTAGAGGATATTAATGTGTTTAGTAGTCATTCGTTTCGTCGCTTACGTTCCCATCAACTTCATTACCTTCATATAAAGGCGAGTCTAAGGCGTCGTTTTCATTCCTGGTCTCATCTAAAGTGCACTTATTATATTCAATTGAGGTTAGGTTTAGCGTTTTGTAAATTTTCTCCAAAATTTCTTGATCCAAATATCGGAAAATAACGTTATCTCCAATTCGCTCTTTCATTTCATTAAGATATATCAATGCCTGCAAACAAACAAAAGTTTCAGATTATCTTTTATACTTCATATCAATCAAAAACGCTACATAAGAGTTGTTTTCCGACAATTTATTTGTAAGTTCATGTTTGAATATCAAGGATGAACAAATAATATTGATCTATGAAACATTCATATCTCCCATACAGTCATTATCACTCTTTTTCAAATGTATGGTTTGTTATTAACGTCGTTTTCGATTTCATAACACATAGCAACTCTGCCAAATAACGAAACTTGTGCCAGGTCTCCTAACTTATTTTACAACAAGCTGATGCCATCCGGAATTTGAGTAAATGACATATTTCCTTGATAAAATCTTTTCCATTATACAGAAAGTGTGTATAGCGGAGTTCTTCCTCATGTTACTAGTTCTAACTCATACAGTGAATGTTAACAAGTGGGTCAATCGAGGTTTTGAAATTATTCTGGTGTTTACTAAGCTCGATCAAATGATGCTACACCTCCTTGTGGTTTTTTCAGCTTTTGAATTTCGAGTCAGTAGTTCCGACGGTAAATGTGTGTTTACGATAAATAAGCTCCTCTACTTTGTCTAAGTCCATTTATATTCGCCCCAAGAATTTCTGGAGATGTTCAACTAGTCTTTATGAGGTGTAAGAATCCTAATTGTTTGGAAGAAGACAGAATATCGATAGTCTTACACCAGCACAGGTTTAAAAAAAGATGTAGCGTCATACTTAGTGGCTAATGATTCGACAAATAAATTATTTCTGTATAAGTTGTTTCCCTGAGCTTTAGTTAAAGATTGATATAAGCGTCTGTACCTGGACCTTATTGGTATTAGGATTCATACAACTGAATAAACTATATTCGAAGTTTAAATGTTATTTTCAGAATATCCCAAAACAATGGTGTTACTAAGTGTTCTTGAGATTTAAACTAAAGGAACCGGAAGCCCGGGATTTCTATGGTGGTGTTTCTAGTTAGAGATGTTCACTTTTCCTTCTCCATGTCTGTAGAAACTACAAATCATGAACGAACAATAAGATCTACTTGAAAGAAGGTCAAATGCTAATCAGATTTCAAATGTGATGGTGTTGGCGCTCAAACTCATTGACTAACAATGATTTTACAGATCTCATTCGTGTTTTGATCATGGCATGGTCATGCTTTGTAGAAAACGTACTCAACTGGAAATACTCATATATTATTTTAATAATAATAACCAATCATGGGACGAAGATCCTTTACAATTGATTGATCACTGGGAGGTGATCAGTGTCACACATGTCAGGTCCTTCTTATTGCAAATCGAATCCTTGTTAGTCAATGAATTCTAGTGCCATCACTATCATATCTAGAATCTGACTATCGTTCCATTTATCATGTGAATCGTATTGTTCGTTCATAAGTCGCATTCAAGGAAAGCGAGTTTCCAATATCAAATTGAATTCGTTTTAGGGAAATCTTCATAACTAAAAATATCGCTTGTGATAAAAGAGTGGACATTAATATTTGAGTGTTCCACTCAGATATTATTCCAAATTATCAGTGTATTTGATAAAATTATCCATAAAGAATCAAGTTCTAATCATAGTATGGGTATTAAAATCAGTCAGAATATTGAATTATACCGAAATACCGGATAAATCATTCTGTTTTGATACATAAATCAATCGGAAATTTCTTGATTTACACTGTCTAGGTTAGATGATGACGTATATTATGATATGATATTTAAGCACGAAATACATCAATAAACTCAAATCATTTTAGTGTTGTATAGTGGTACTATTTAGCAAGGAAACAATTAGTATTGATAATGTTGATTCCTCTTTAAAATTTGTCAGTGATAGGATTGACTTACATCTTTATATTTCTCTTCCATTACTAATTCACGTATTATTAAAGAATAAATATCTCCAGGTTTTAATATATCATCCTGTCCAATATTTTCTAAAAGTGTATGACACCTTTGCATTGCATCTATCGGATTTGTGGAAAACAACCTATTCGTTTAAATGAAAAGCGCAAATATTATTTTATTAGTGAGTGGGGGATGAGTTACTCACATTTCATTCGTTTAACAATAAGAGTACACAATTGTATTTATAAAAGTTTATATATTGTGGTCAAAGATGACTGCTTTTATTCCATAAAAAATCAAGTTGTTTCGCCTTACTGAAAACACTTAAAAACTTATGATTTTTGTAAATAAAACTGATTTCTTTGTACTTTATTGTGCGGCTAATTCGATTTCTAAATATAACGCGTTCTGTTGCGCTCATCGAGTTCTGTCTACCTTAAATTGGGCTATGCAGGTAATTCTTAATTAGCATGTCAGTTCGACTACTCACAATTATCATAAAATTGTACCTGTCTCTGATAAATTACTAAGGAAATTAGTTGTTTGTCTCGCCATCACGAGAATTAAGTACATTTGAAAATGTGGACCTTTAGATTCCGATTAAACGGGCTAAAAGTCGTTTCCAGTAAAAACCTTGAGGTTCCTGGGATCAATTCCATGTAAAGTCATAGAAAGTCACGAACTAAAGAGAAACGGCTGTCTCTAGTTTTTCTTAGAGGAAATGAAGTACTGCACTGTGAAAAAACAATCGTTAGTAAGGAAAATGATTAACTGAATAAAAAGACTGGTGAACTTCACAATACACAACGTTAAAATCAATAATTCTGATTTATTAAATAAACTTTTTGTTTAAGAAACATAAGTTTTCCAGTTTACACTAGCTACGTTTAATAGGTCTTATAAATACTTTAATTATATGTATTTATGTATTACTAACTCTACCTGGTGCTCAATTTATTTGAAACTATTAGGTCCAACGTTGACATTGATACCCATTATGCTTTATTCGAGATCAGCACACAAATATATTACAACCATTCATTTGAGTTTAAATTGGATTTCTGGCAAAGCACAAACTAGAAATCTACACTCGAATAGGCCTGGGGATGGCTTCATGGATATACTAAAGGGAAATTTGCCGTTTCTGAAAATAACGCTGTGCGATAAAATCTCAAGGATTTCACTATGCTTTCAGATTTACACTTCAGTGTTAAACTCTGAAATAGCTGAACGCACTGGTGATTTTAAAAAAAACTATTGAGCAAAATAACTTTCGAGTAACATCAGTCTACCTACATTACAACTAGGTTTTTGGTAAAATAATGGATAGGGTGTTGATAGACGGATACTCTGAAATAAGGCAATATGGGCCATTAGTGGTTTATTGTTAGGCAGAGGCTACATACTTTCTACACACACGGATCATTAATTAACAGATAAAAGACTGAATAATGCAATACGCAATTATAGTAGTACTATACTTGTTTATCTCGTCAATCACTTTCCTATAGAGTAGAGGTATACATGGATAAAAAGTATAGTAACATGTAGTTGACCAATCAACGAACATTCAATAAGTTTGTGACTATAGAATAGTTCATTTCTTTAATTTATTAAAATATTAACACTACAATGACGTTTAACGACTGGTGATGATGATCAACCTACTTCTGAATTTCTATAAACTCTTTGCATAATATTGTCTTCTTTTTTATTTAAGTTAGACGTTTTTTAAGATGACATTCATTTGTTTGATTATTATCATTTGTAGTTGAACTTGATAATTTAACTAAAACTTTATACGTTTCGGTTAATGCATCCAATGCTTTTTCATAATTGCCAGATTCTTCAATTTCATTCTGTTGTTAGCAAGTATAAACAAAACGATATACAATTATATTTAATCTGCTAAGGATTTTAACTGATATCAATACAGATTTAACCACAATTCCATAACTTTATTATGAGAATTAACTTTTACTCAAGTGGAAAAATTAGTCAGTCAAACTTATTGTAGAACCTGGCACACGTATATATCGGTTCAAGTTGCCGCGAGATGAAATTGTCAGGGGGAATCCAAAAGTAGTAGAGTTAGTAACAGCTTTAAAGGCATCAGAAAAGATTAGGCATTCAAGAGAAAATTTGAGAAAATGTAAATTAGTGAAGTGATCAAAAAAATTTGTGAAGCATTTAGAAATATGAGAGAGTAAATGCTCCTGGGCCATTGCAAACTATTTTGAGCGATATCGAAAAAATCACTCTTTATATGAAATAAATAAATCTTCAACTGAACTTTAAATTGTGAAACCTACAATCATCTACAATTTCAAATCAATGTTATGGAATAGAAAATACTTCGGTTGTTTCGTCAGTTCTTCCAACTTTAGTTCTTTTTTTTACCAAATTTAAGAAATGTACACGAAGATCTTTCTGTTGCTTTGTGTATATATTTGCTTATTTATTTATCGAAATTTTAGATTATCATTCATACATTTTATTTATTTAAACTTTCATATTAATGATACAAAAATAATGGTTACCTTAATATAATTAGGTATTCCTAACTTTCTCTTCTTCTATAACTATCCACCTGAAACAACAGACTGGTAGCAATAAGTATCAAAATTTTAAAACCGAACCTATGCATTCAGAAATCAGACAATTATCAATTTACCACTGTCCTAGTAAATTGATATTGTTTGTTTCATAGTTGAAATCATGAGTCAATTGAAGTTAGACCACCATGGAAAACCTGGAAACACTGGTGGGACTGTGGGACTCCTCACGAATGCGCATCTATTCAATTGACTCATGACTTAAACTATGAAAAATACTGAAATCTCCACAAAACCCATTCAAATAATGTTTGCTTTAATACTGCTCAATTAGTATTATCATTAATTTTTCTTTCAAACTTTCACTTACCTATATCATTTCAGTTATCCAGTCACCAATGTTTCTTACTTAATATTAGTTATATTTCAGCATAAATACAACTGTAATTAGCTGACATGAACCCATAAAATTAAAGTGGATTTATATGATTATACATAAACTATTATTCTCTTTCTTTGTTTCTAAAACTATATATCCAATTTTCTCATTACTGCTTATTAATATCATAAAAGATATACAAATTATCTTTATACTCTTATAGATTTTGGAAGAAAATAACTTCATTTCGATAGTGTAATAAGAAGACGTAGATTATCAGAACTATGTAATGATATATTAGTGCAATACATTTCGAACAATCTGATCACATATATGCTTGTAAAGGACATTTATATTTAAAAATAAAAGGTCAACTAGACTAGAAATGGGGGGGGTAGGAGTAGACAAGGATGATACTAATAATAATATGTGTGATCAGATTGTTCGAAATGTATTGCGCTAATATATCACATAGCTCTGATAATCTTCATCTTCTTATTACACTATTGAAATTTATCAAAAGAGACTAATTGCTTTAACTTCATTCCACTAACTGTTTTATGACTAACATTAAAAAGAAAAAAATTAAAGGTGATGTATTTTATTTCTGTAAATAACAATGATGTATTCATTATACATCGATTAATATTAAGGTTAATTTCTGAAATTATATAACTTCGTGAAGAAGCTTCTGAATATCTTTAATGATGCTGTCTAACAAACTAAATAAGTATCAATAAACATCAAAGCTTCCAAAAAGGTATCAGTAATTAGTCAGATAACATGTACGTTTTTACTACTCAAACTAAGATACGTAGAAAGTGGTAGAAAACTATAATAAGATTGCTGCTGGCTTCCGTTATCACTCATATATAATAACATCTCTATGAGTTGCACCATCTCTTGGATTCCAGTTAGGGATTCGTGATGGATCAGTGCTTACTAAATACTATACTGATATCTTTCACCCAGTCCCGTCGCAACTTGGAAATCTCTGAGAAGACATCCATAAAACAGGAACCAGTTACAATTCAATGTTTCAAGATGATGGTTCCAAATGATTTGTCTTCACTGTTCTGGACTTTTAAAATAACAATCCATTGTAACTATTGGATATGAGTAGTCAGTGGAAGACAAATATGATCGAACATAGGGTTGACTGACATTCTCAGCTCATATGAAACAGGTTTAACCAGTATAGGTTTGACATGCTCCCACCAACACGTTGTAAGCACTCCTCTTTTTAACATGAAAAAGCCAAACATCATAAGTTCTTCTGGCTTTCGCCAGCAGACACACAAATAACCAAACATGTGAACTCTTAAGTTGTTTCTAACGATTGACCACAAATAGTGAGTGCAGGTGCACGTTCCTGTCAGTCTTGAAAACTTCATATTTCGAAAGTGAAAAGTAAATGCCGTGCTTGCTGACAGTAATTGTCAACGGATTTAGTGCAATTTGATTAGTTTGTGCATTATCAAACACTAAAACCATATCATCAATATACTCAAGGTCGAAAAGTTGTACTCCGTGGAAAATATGCAAACCGCCACTTAATTAATACGAAGCTGTTTTCAGAATGTCATCGTTGGAAATTCGAAGAAAAATTCAGTTTAACTCCACTGCCGGATTGAGATAATAGAGTGAGGTGGTTATGTGTCTTCAGTCTACTGTATCATGTGATCAAGTATGAAATTATAAGGCAGTGAGTACCACATGTTATTGAATCTTCTTTGAAAAAAGCACACTCATATATAAATTGGATAATATAGTATTCAATCATTATATTCTAGTGAAATAACAATTACAACAAAACAAAGTTATGAACTGAATTGACGAACGCAATTCCTATAAACTTTATTCACTTGGTAGGGAGTTCTCTGTATCTATTTTATATAGTAGTTTATAAATATCTAATTTTTGAAGATAAATGCACAACCTACACTAAGTTACAAGCATGTTCATAATGATACAATTACACAGACACTATTAACAATTTGTTATTGAGCCATAAGTACAAGGAGGATGTTTAAAGTTGTATTTTCATATAACGGTATTGTTCGACATCTAGGAATTTACAAATATCCAAGGCAAATATTTCATAAAGCATAAAAGTATATCATAATTTGCAAACAGTTATCATTAATGTTGAGAGCATACAATTTTCTGTAATAAGCAACAGATAGATACAATTCAGAAAACTCTTTCAACATCGAATTCGCATTTTCATTGGTTAACATTAAAACCTAGAAATCAGGGACTGGTTCACAATCATATATTTATATATTCATTAGTTGAAATTGACAACCAGCTTATCCTTAACAAAATTATTATTGAATGATCTAACTTATTATTATACAATTTATATTATCAGAAAGGGGCTTTTGTGGAGATTTTAGGAATTTTATATAGTTGAAATCATGAGTCAATTGAAGCTAAACCACCATGGAAATCCTGGAGGCATTGGACGGCGTTTCGTCCTATTTTGTGACTCTTCAGCAGTGCGCATCCACGACCTCGCCTCGCGAGATTCAAACGCAGGACCTATCAGTCTTGCGCGCGAGCGCTTAACCACTAGATCACTGAGCTGGCCAGCATCCAACGGTGTTTATGTCTAACTTCAACCGATCCACGAAATTGAGCGAGTCCCGTAATAAGACGAAATGGCCGTCCCGTGCTTCCAGGTCTTCCATGATGGTTTAGCTTCAATTGACTCATGATTTCAACTATACAATTTGTATCAGTCAAAAAAATGAATATTGAAATGATATAACAGCAAATTAACATGGACAAACAAATATACATAGAATAATATCTATAAAATGTAATAAACATACATGAGCACATGCTTCATAAAATGCAGCTAATGATTCCATTGCTTGACCCCTTGTATAAAATTGTATAATATGACGTATAATATTTATATTTGAATGCCAATCATTTAATGTTTGTAAATAATTTGCTGCCATGATATAAATTTCTTTTTGTTTACTAATATTAGTAAAATATATAATTTTATTTGTATCCCCAGATTTAATTAAGGCTTTCATTGCTAATAGATGATTACCAGATTGAGTAAATTTTTTACATGCTAAATAATATTGTTCTTGTATTAAACATAATTCACCTAATTGATTCAATAGAATAGATTTTTCTTTATTTGATAAATTATTTGATATTGGTGTAAGTTTTTCAATTAAATCTTCTGTTATGGGTATAAAATGTTCATTACATAATTGGATTGCTTCACAATACTGTAAAATAAAAGTTTATAGAGAAAAAAATAGTTTATTGAACAATGAACATAGAAAATATGTTATATCCCGAAGAGAATTATGGCGGGTAACTCTTGAGAACTATTTATGGACCAATGTGATATGTATATTTCCTATTGTATAATTGTTAAGTAACTTAACTATTCATGTTCATGTTTCTTTTGTTATGAGCTTTATTTTGACCTATAGACCATTACTGTATAATTTACCATTCCTGAGTTTTGCTCAGTCTACTAATTACTGTTCCCACCTATTCACAGCCACATTCGACTAAATCTTGTACAAATGTTATTTTCTATTTTATGGTTCGATGTGGTCTGTCTGTTTGATATATAAACCCAGTATGTTTGAGAATAATGATTTATATTTGCAGAGGCTATTATTGGTGTTCTGGACTTAACTGGTTGGGCTAGGCAGATAGCAGGACTGATAAGTACTCAAGACTGCTCATATGGCTTTTGTGTATCATTGCTCTGATCGATAATTCACTCCTCTCTAATTTGCTGTCTTATAACGTCATATATCAACAGGGCTAGCACGCACTCACTCGATATAACAAAATATATGACCTGTACCTATAAAATACGAATTAAGGTAAGGCGTTCCACTCCATTTGAAACTTATCAACTGAATATTCTGGCATCTAAGTGTTAATATTCACTTTTAAATTCAAAATTGTAATGACATATCTATTAAGCTAATTAATGTATCTGCTAAATATGTTCAACGCATATTATGTTTATATAATTATTAGTAAGTGTTTAAATTTATTCTACAGCTAATAATGGCTTTCTAGACTCATTAGATCAGTATATCAACCGTATGTAGAACAAAACGCTCGTCTTAAATTCGATCACTAGCTACAATCAGTCTATTTCCCTATAAACTTCTTAATAAGTCACTATATCGACACAAAATACACATATCTCAACAAAGACTGATTAAATATATTAGTAATGTGGTAAACATTACTTTATGTGATATGTTTCGCGAAGATTTAAAAAAAACTCAACAGTACTTGTCACCAAAAACTAATATCAGCTGAAGAAATATCGAGAACATGAAGGTATCGGTAAGTGAATAATTAAATTGTCAGAATGAGGGTTTGTGGAGATGATAGTGATTTTTAATAGTTGAATTCATGGGTCAATCTAAGCTAGACTGCCATTAAAAGCCCGGAAGCACTGGACTAATATGGGACTCCTCATCAGTGCGCATCCACAATCCTGCATGTGGAACATAAAACGACCGTCCAGTGCTTCCAGATTTACAATGATGATCTAGCTTAGATCGAATCATGAATTCAACTATTAAAAAAATAATTAAATTCTCATAAGTTAACAGTTTTGGGGAAAATACTTAAAACTTTAGTTAGATACTATCAAAAAAATAGACAAAATCATCGATGAAATAGTAAAGTTGAATGAAGATAGTGTCATTTATTATGAATTGAATAATGTTACCTATTATGGGAAAAAAGTATTTCATTAGCAGAATACAGAAGAAGTAAATCATAATGAAAAGATTTATCATTGGAGTTCGATTAATCATGTAGAATATATTAATAACATTCAATTTAGATCATAAATTAAAGGCTACAAAAAATTTGTTACCATATATTTTCAACAAAAGCATCAGCACAATGAATTCGTTGATAAGATTTTCAAAGTCGATTTGTATCTGTTTAATTACTTTTTATCCTAATCATTTGCAATTGCTAGATGATGATTTTGGAGTCAATAACGTTAGATATCATCTTTACATCACTACTCCTATTTATGACAGGTTGTGTAAGTAATTTACAAGTGAATCATACCTAACTTTTAGTGGTGAGCTATCATGTTTATATCACTTACTTTAATTTAGCTATTTTGATTAATTGTTAGTTAATGTGATCTATCTTTGACACATATTTTAATAGGAAGAACATCCGTTGTTCTCTGTAACTTTACAATGTCAACTTTATTTGTGTTTCAATTGTACCAAATTTCTAATTATATGTGTTATGTAGTTGTTTAAATTTCAAAATTTATTTGGAATAAATAATAATAGATCTCAATAGTTTTCAAAAACTCATATCATAAATTCACTTGGTATTGTTTGGCTGAAGCTTCCCATTGACGCTTGGGACAGCGATTGATCAGTCTCTTATTGACCATATGTGTATACTGTGTGTATTGCCTCGATATAGCCTTAATTCACAAGCAAAGATGGATAGTGGCTAAGTGGATAACACGATGGCGTTTGAAACGAACGGTACTGGGTTCGAGCCCTAGAGTGAACATCAGATCTGAAATGTAGGTACATCCAGCTGACGAGTCCCAAATAGGACGAAACGCGCGTCCTGGATTCTACTGTTAGCCACTATACATCTTTGCTCTTATATTATAGTTAAAATGATCAATTTATTGGTCGGTTTTTTGAATTCAGCGGAAAATTGAAGATGTGAAGGAATTTCATTCAATGTCGAATCACTAACACATGACGCAGTAACTGAAGTCTCAATGGCATTTACAACTTTTTAGTTAAGATTAGGAGTAGCAATAATTCCATATATCAAAGTGCTTACTAACCTGTTTCATTTATGAGATTTACATATCTCTGAAATATCTGATGCGGAAATTAAGGTAATAACTGACTGTAAGATCCCTTGGGTTCACAAGACGATGAAGTGGAGATTCTTGGACGACTACGAGCTACACATAATAGAAAACTGTTTACTTTGATACTAAGAGGTTTTACATTCCGAATACCTCTAAGAACATGCATCTCGACTAGAGCCTACAGTGGTAGAACGGACTCATAATACTGTTGATATAAAATTAGATTTTGATTTATGTCTCTAGTGATTTTAAGTACTTAGTTGTACATACTTTATAGACAAAGCGAAAATTAAAAAAAGTCAGCTAAGAAAACCAAACAATAGATATCTCATACTACTTGATCATCAATTCAACTACTCTTTTGCAAACATTTATATTATAAATGAATATTTCATGACATTACCTGTTTACCAGCTGCAAGTATTTCAACAGCTCGATCAAATTGATTATTTTGTATAAAGAATTCTGAACATTGTTTTAACATTACAGGATTTAATTGTTCATCATTTAAAGAACTAATAATACTTTGTAAAGCATCAAATTGTTTAGTATTAATTGCTAATTCTATAGCTTGATTAATTTTGCCGGCTTTATGATATAATAATATTGCTTTATCAATATAATCTGAATAATTTCCTAAATGTTTTGCTGATTCTAACATATCATCTGATCAGCCTAATTGTGCTAAATTAAAAAGATGATCATTACGACCATGTTCCTGTAAGAAATATTCAAGGAGAAAAATAACATTGACAGTGATAATATGAACATAGTGGGAATTTTAAAATGTCTTCTGTTATTAAAGTGATAAATATAATAATATACTAACATATAGTTCAATATATTAACAAGTCAGAAGGGGTTTTGTGAGGATTTAATATATTCATAGTTGAAAGCGTTAGTCAATTGAAGACAATTCGTGAACGGTTGCTCAACTTCGTGGATTGGTTGATATTAGACATAAACATCATCGAATACCGGCTCAGTGGTCTATCGGTTAAGTGCTCGCGCGTGAGACTGGTAGGTCCTGGGTTCGAATCTCGAGAGGCGAGGTCGTGGATGCGTACTGCTGAGGAGTCCCACAATAGGACGAAACGGCGATCCAGCGCTTCCAGTTTTTCCTTGGTGATCTACATACAAATGACTCACGCTTTCAACTATTTAAATATCATCAAGTCTCACTAAATAAATAAGGAAATATTTGAAACACCAATAGAATATATAAAGATTTTAGAAAATCTTTACGTGTTATCTATGCTATTTATGGCACTCATAAGATATGAAAATAACTAATAAAGACTAAGTAGGTCGTGTTTTGATCATTTATGTACACATTTTTGACTGTAAGATAGATATTAATAATAGTCGACTTATTTGTTTAATCATTGAGGTTCTCTCTTGATGTTCAGGCATGAACAGGTAGTTTCCCTAGGGAACTAGTAGAACTAATGAGTCATCATCAATGTTAAAGACTTATAGAACTATTTATTTTGGGGATTTATTTGCCACCATAATTTTCGTGGAAGTTGAAACACATTACACCAAGTTTTGCAATGATAATAATCAATGTTCTTTAATGTATGGTAGGATGTGGTCAAATCATGAAGTCAGAAAACTCTTAATAAGTGATAATTATCATATTTGTTCTTCAACATAACCAACATTATGATCATGTTGGGTGGTTGAAGTTGGTTAGTTGAGAACCCTGCAATAACGTTCCGTGCCAGTTAGCACTCCTCATCAATGGATACTTGAAGTTTTTAGGAAACCGATTCTTCCTGTAGGGTTCAAGCTTCACATTGCCAAAACGTTACCATTAAGTTATTCGGGATGTGACACACCCTGAGTTGACAAAGATATTTATAATCGATCTATTAATGAATCATGACCAATTTCATGTTAGTCTAGTTTTTTAATGTCGATGATATTATGTTGATTTGCATTTATTACCTTGCACAAACGTATTGCACTTGAATAAGCTTTTTCTCTTGTAAACAAACGAATTGCTTGGTCTATACAACCTTTCAATTTTAAATGATTCCCTAAATGATGACAAGCACCAGGATCATCAGTTTCATTGCATATTGTTTCAGCTTCTGATTCTTCACCAAGACAGCATAGTACACGTACTAATGATAGGTAATCTTTTGAGCTCGAATAATATATTTTCGCTTCTTCAAGACACCCTTGAGCTTCTGGTTTTTTGCCCACCAACTTTTCATATTTCTAAGTTCAAAAAAAGAAAATGAATGTTTCAGAATTTAGTCAGTCAATTTGTATTTTTTAAGATTTCGCCACAGTGATACAGAAAGAGATCATTCTGTATTTACTCATCATTTTTTTGTATTTTGTAAATTGTTCAGTCAGCTTGTATTATAATAATAACTACTAAATAAAGTCCAAGAACACGAATCATTAAGAATGATATCAGTTTCAAGATGCCGTTTTGAATAATTTGGAAAATCTTTAAAAACGTTGTTGCATAGGTAAAAATAACTGCATGGGTATTTAGTAATGACAAAGAAAGGATTGTCGAGACTATTGAATTTAGAAGTGAGTTGTTATAAAACAATAATATTGGTCTAGAAGTCTGATTTGCTAAACCAAACAAGACAGACCACACAATGTTTTAAAGCTGTATTATTAGTTAAATAAGACAGGGGGTAGATTATTTAAATCAGCCACTTACTTACGTAACCTCTTGAATGTCCTTCTGTTTAAATCAGTCTAGTGCTCCACGTATCATTATGGTTTATAAAAATATTGGAAGAGCTTTATTTTTAAAACTGTCTATGCAGTTTTAGTTTTCACATTTCGCATATCTGAATTTTCACAGTTGACGTAACGAGTCGGTCCGAGCTAGAGTATCATTGGAAACCTGAAAGTACTAGACGGCTTTTTCGTCCTAGTACGGGACTCCTCGACATGCGCATCCACGATCTCATACGTGGGAGTCGGAGCCAGGATCTTCAGTCTCGTGTATGAATATTTAACCTCTAGACCACGGAGCGCACTGCTGAGGAGTCCCGTACTAGGACGAAACGGTCGTCAGGTACTTTCAGGTTCTCATCAGTGGTTCAACTTAGATCGATTCGTGATTTTAACTGAGAAAATACTACAATGTCCACGAATCCCCATACTGATTTCCGGGTTTGTCAAGCATTAGGATGTACATAAAATCTCCTTTGGAATTATGACCCTAACAAAAGAATGAAAAGATGAGTACTCGATACTTGTTTCATCTTGGTTTTGAACTTCACAAACAATACAACTTCAACTTCGCAAAGCATTGAAATCCGGACCGTAGAATCTAACACTAAAATCAAATCATTAGACTTCTGAATCATGATATATAATCCCCTATCAATGGGTATATATTCAATGGGAAAATTCTACAAAATATAGGATATCTGTGAAAACTGAATAGTTTATATTGCTAGTATTTGACTAACAATCGAAAAATTTATCGGTAAAATTTGTCTACAGTGAAGAAAATCAAAATACACTTACTGCACGATTTCAGTTCATACAAATCTTAGTAATAAATTTAGAAACTAGAATACTGAATTGTTTTGAATCATTACATTGAAATATTCATAATATCTATCCATATATATGTCAACAACTAAAGTATAAATTCAAAGATTTATTTTACTTCAGCTAATAATACTGTGGTTTGTGTTACTTTTATCCACATAAGTACTATATGGTGATGGTGAAGAAGAGAACGTATTTCACTAGAAGTGAAATATCCTGTAATTTTGTGCTCAAATACATTCGATTGTCCCCCACTCGTGTTCTCATTCACTACAATACATCTATACATTATTATATAATGATATTCAAAATTGTAAATCTATTCATATATTCAATAGATATATTGATCAATATTAAAATAATTTTAATAAAATAGATTTATTCAATAATATAATTATATATACTTACTGATCATTTTGTTGATTTACAAATGATTCTAATAATTTCGGATTATTTTGTAACATTCTAGGTACTTCGAAACAATGAGTTCCAGATTGAATATAACTAATTATAAAATATCAATGAAGCTTTTTTATTTATTAAAATCATTAAAAATAAATAAATAAATATAACAGAAGGGGATTTGTGGAGATTTCGGTATATTTCAAAGTTGAAATCATGAGTCAATTGAAGCTAAACCACCATCGAAAACCTGGAAGCACTGGACGGCCGTTTCGTCCTATTATGGGACTGCTCAGCAGTGCGCATCCACGATCCCGCACTCGCGAGATTCGAACCCAGGATCTACCAGTTACGAGCCAGAGCCCGTAAAAGAAGGGGTTTTGTGAAGATTTAGTATTTTCATAGTTGAAAGCATACGCCAACTTCGTGGATTGGTTGAAGTTAGACATAAACATTATCAGATGCCGGCTCAGTGGTCTATCGGTTAAGTGCTCGCGCGTGAGACTGGTAGGTCCTTGGTTCGAATCTTGAGAGGCGAGGTCGTGGATGCGTACTGCTAAGGTGTCCCACAATAGGACGAAACGCCGTCCAATGCCTCCAGGATTTCGATGGTGGTTTAGCTTTAATTGACTCATGCTTTCAACTATGAAAATATAACAGAATTAAAAATTTAATGGTATAAGTTTATATTGAATAAAATACTTAATATAATAAAATGAAGGTAGAATATGAAAACTATGGTTCATCCCTGATTCCTTCTTTCTTTCTTTTTTTCTCTGATTGATTATTTAACTTTAACTATCATTTTTTATTAAAATATGTTTTGTTATCTATATTCCAAGGTCACTTCATTAGGAATATTGAGCGGTAATTTTATTTGTTTAATTGAATTTACAAAATTTCAAATATTCAATTGTAGAAATCCTATTGATCCTTTTATCTCATGTGTAATGTTGTATACTGTAGAAATGAAATTATCTCACTAATGAACCAGTTTTTAATAACTGTGTTATGTTCTTGCTTAGATTGGAATAAGTTCATGAAACATAATGTAGTAAACAAGAACACAAGTGGGAATAATTGAATGTGTATGAATGATAAATTACAGAATCTCTTACTAAACTTTTGACAACCATATACGAAATACTTCATTTGCAAAATATCAACTAATTGCTTCAGACTTGTTTGTTCCTTCGTTTTCACACCAAACATTGTGTGTTCTCGTTCTCTTTCCTTTGATCTTCTTAACCTACTGCCTCTAGGTATTTCACTTCTTATTAATGATACATACTACTTATATCTATCGACATCGGTAGCCCACATCAAAGAAATACCACTAGTACAGATCATGATACAGTTAAATTTTATGAACATAATGAAAAAAAGTCATAATACAGTAAACCCCGGTCTATTTTTCTGTAACATATGCTTGTTGATATCCAATACTACATAGTCTTCAGGACATTATAACCAGCTTATTTTCTACATATTTATTTATATTATTTAAGATTTGTGAAAATACTTGACTGATAGTATTTTAATTAATAAGAAAACTTTCTAAACTGTTTAACGATTTATAATTTTGTCTACTTAATTTATAATTAAATTTACCTGTTCGAATATATCGAGATATTCGTTTAAACTATTGATGCTTTTGAAATCATGACTATTAGTATTTAGTCTTCTGATACAATACAGTTTTACCGTTATCAGCTTAAAGCTAATACTCCATAAGTTTATTTGTCATTTTTCTATTAGTATACTTTGTTGAATTAAAAAAAATTTATTTTCGTTATAATACTACTGAAGTTAATGATAGTATGTTTTAAAAGAATAAATTATTACTTGATTAACTTACAAATCATTTCCATAATTTTGATAAGAAAATAATGTATATACCAAATGTTGAATGAATATAAAAATTGTATAAAACTATCAAAGACTTTTTCCATTTTCAATAAGTGAGAAACATTAATCTTTTTATTAATAAATGGAAATTATAATGTGTTGTGTGCTACTGATGTTGATAGATATAAGTAGTATGTATCATTAATCAAAAGTGAAATGCCTAGAGGCAGTAGGTTAAGTAGATCAAAGAAAAGAGAAAGAGAACAGAGAATGATTGGTCTGGAAACGGAGGAACAATTAAGTCTGAGACAATTGATTGACATTTTGAAAATAAAGTATTTACTGTATGGTTCTTAGAGTTTACTAAAAGATTCCCCGCTTGTACTCTCGTCCACCACAATAGAACAATGAAAAAATACTGCCAAATCCTTATATTATGTGACTATTTGTTCAAAAATAAGAATGTAAGCATCTAGTGAATAGATTTTAGTGAAAATGTTGAATTTATTCTGTAAAAATCAAACTAATTATCTGTTCAAAGCTGACAATACCATCAAATTGACAAACTGAGTAGCTCAAAATCCCTAAAAATCTAAAGTTCCATTCTTATAATCGTGAAGTTTGATAATTTATACCTTGTGCTTATAGTTAAATTTATGATAAAAGGATATTTTTAGTTGCAAATAATCACTTTTTCCAGAAAAGTAATAATAAACAAGAATATAGAAGGTATTAAGAAATAGAACAGAAATCTCAGGATGCATGATGTTACATTCACAGTTGATTGATCACTGGGTGGTGATCAATGTCATGTATGTCAGGTCCTTCTTGATGCAGAAATAATCCTAACAATGAAGTTGAAATGTGGCCACCATTCTAGATGACTCGACATTGCATGCATTATGTTGAGATATGGTGGTGGTTGTAGGTAATCAACAGGTGGTCACATTGCAACTTCATCTATAGGATTCAGTCTACACTAAGAAGGACCTGACATACATGACATTGATCACCACCCAGCGGTCAATCAATTGTAAATACATCTCATTCCTACAGGAGGTTGGTCGCGGCCCGGTTAGCTCAGTGGTAGTGTCTCTGACTGTGAGACTGGGTGATACGGGATCGTATCAGCTAGGAAGCATCAGTTCCCTTAAGATTACAGGTGCATCTTGCTGACGTAAGCCAAGTAGCATGAAACCTAGGTCCAGGGTTTCCTGTTGACTACCTCCAACTACTATTAAATTTGATGATACTTTTGTTAAGGGCAACTTCAAGCAGCTAATTATTTGACTTGAGAAGATTTAATTACCAATATCAACAAGATTATGAGGAATTATTATTTCTTAATAAGTATTTAGAGTTAATTAAGAAAATAGTTCATTCTACAGTAGAATATCATAAATGTAAATAATGGTCAACCATTTTATTTATAAAACTTATCATTGTCTTCTCAAGCAACAGATTATTTAATCTTTCTACTGTCTAAATAAAAACCTGTAATAATCTTCTACAAACCTTTTTACAACTCAAAGTATGATTGTTTTTGAGTGTACATAATAGTACTTAAAAGCTGTTTTATGGTTACAATATTATGATCAGTGGCAAATAGATTCTCATCAGAATGACAGTATTCAAATGTTTGAAGTCACTATCTTAACAGATGTTCCAAGCCTTTTACAGTTCTTCATCACCATTAATCGGATTGCTAACCGATTTCAGAATTAAAGAAAATAACTTTGAAGTAATAAAACTTACTGTTCAATAGCTTGCTGAATGTCACCCACAGACTCCGATTCTTTAGCATAGGAATAATGAATACTACATAATAACATACGATTATGTTGTTCAGCCGTTATCAAAGCTTTGCTCCAATTGCCGAGCGACTGATGTAAACGAATTATCAAGTCCCAACGATTACATTGAATGAATAGTTGTTCAGCCTCATCCTTAATAAATTAAACCAACATAAAGCGTGTAGTTATTAACCTTTCAAAGTAACACAGTATTACCTTCTTTAACTAATATATGAGACATACAAAATACATCACGGTTTTTAATATTCATCCATTTTCAGTAAATCAAATACAAATCACTGTAAGGCGGCAAAATGTCACATGAGTGTCTATTTTACATGAACATTTTGAGCCCAAGAAGTCACTATTTAATTCTTCACTAGCTAGTTATTGAATAGTATCAGTCAGTCAGCTACAACGTAGGACCAGGCACATTTATGCATCGGTCCAAGTTGCCATACCTCGTAAGCACAACAAGATGAACACCGGATTCATAGAAGTAATTAATTTAGTGGTGGTAATATATAGAGAAAGGTTGTATAGAAGGATATAGTATAGGAAGGAAGAGAGATATGAAGCAATTTTAGTCTCAAGGTTTAAAGGAAGATAAAGAGTGTATACACCTACGCCATTGTGATCGATTCTGAGCCATGTCACCTAGACTCTCCAACCATTGGTTACGATAGTCACGCGGACCCCAACCAGGTAGTCTGCATCTGTCAACATGGCTCAGACTAGAAGTTAGTGACTTCAAACACTGATGCCATGTTTTGGTTTGGCCGCCCCTAACTCTCTTCCAACCATCCCCTACACTAGTCATCATAGCGCGTCGTGGTAATCGATGTTCGGGCATACGTAACACATGGCCCAACCATCTCAGTCGATGAAAATTCATCACCTCATCAACTGATTTACCATCGTTCCCTAATACCCTACGTCTAACCTCACTATTACTTACCCGGTTATCCCAGCAGATGCGAGCAATATTTCTAAGGCATCTGTTGTCAAATACTAGTAACCTACGAGTATCTTCTATTCTTAATGGCCATGTTTCACAACCGTAAAGTAGAACAGAGCGAACTGCTGCGCAGTATACTCGTCCTTTAATTGATAGACGGATATCTCGTCTTCGCCATAGGTGACGTAAGTTGGCAAAAGCCAAACGAGCTTTTCGAATCCGTGCTGAGATTTCGTCAGACACCAACCCATTAGGGCTGATCAGACTTCCAAGATAAGTGAAGTTGTCAACGCGTTCGACTACTTCACTCCCTATCCTTAGTTCAGGTGTTGACGCAGGCCAGTCCTGGAGTAACAATTTACATTTGGATGGGGAGAATCGCATCCCAAACATCCTGGCATTATTACTGAGTTCCAACAGAAGACTCTGCATTTTGCCAGCGTCTTCACCAAACAGGACTATGTCATCTGCGTATTCTAAGTCGCTTAGTGGTCCCCCTGGTAGGAGATCAATTCCTGTAAATTCAGTCGAAGAGAGTGTTATTTCCAGCAACAGGTCTATAATGAAGTTAAACAAAAATGGAGATAGTGGACAGCCTTGACGGACACCACTTGAGGTTGTAAAATCATATGACAGTTCGCCATAAGCTCTCACTCGACTGGTAGTGTTCGAGTAAAGAGCCTTCACAAGGTTTATTTACTTCTCAGGTACACCTTTCAATGACAGACACTGCCACAGAACCTCTCGGTCTACAGAGTCAAATGCTGCTTTCAAGTCAAGAAAAACTATCATTGTCGGACGCCGATAAGCGTGTCTGTGCTCTAAAACTTTACGAATGGTGAATATGTGGTCGATACAGCCACGACCAGGTCTGAAGCCAGCCTGATTTTCTCGTGTTTGCAGTTCACGAGTCTTAGTTAGGCGCCCGATAATTATTGAGGCTAGTATTTTAGATGCTATGTTGGTCAGACTAATCCCTCTATGGTTATCGCAGGATGATTTTGACCCCTTTTTATATATTGGGACAATCAGTGATTGTGACCAGTCGGATGGGATTACATCCGTCTCCCAGATTTTAGCCAGAATATTAGTCAACCTAATCTCTAAAATCGGACCACCTTATTTAAAGACCTCTGGAGCCAATCCATCTGGACCAGCTGCTCTTCCTCGTTTCAGATTACCTATAGCCTTTCGAACTTCAAGTAGGGTTGGGGGGCCTACTTCAATGTTCCATTCAGGTTTTCTAGGAATAGTGGGTAGTTGTGCAGTAGCTGAAGGCCAGCTAAACTGCTCCTTAAAGTGTTCCGCCCATCGTTCTAAACGTTTGGGTTGAGAGCAGATAAGGGTTCCGTCTTTTTCGGAGATTGTCTCACTTACACTTGACTTCTTAATTCCGGTTTCTTTTATTAGTCTGAATAGTTGCCTGGTGTTCCCTACAGCCGCTGCCTTTTCCATCTCTTTTGCTTTCGTTGCCCACCACTGCTCACGATCATTCTTTAGACTTTTAGTTAACCTATATCTAATTTCTTTACGCTCTTCGTCATGTTCAGAGCCTGATGGGATGAGTTTACGCGAATCCATCAGTGAAATAAACTTAGAAGAAATCCACTGGTTTTTTGGAGCCCTATGGTTTAAATGACTAATAGATGTTACTGCTGTTTTCACAGCTGTTCGTATGTCTTTCCAAGCAGCATCTGTGTCAGTCTTGTTTACAGAACTGCCTAGATGTGAACTTAGTTGTTTCTGGAATTCGCATTTGGCTTTCTCGTCCTCCAGTTCAATCCTAATGAGTCTTCTTAGTGTACTTTTCCTGCGTCCATTGAGGCACAGACAAATAGTATAGTATAGTATAGTATAGTATAATATAGTATAGTATAGTATAGTATTCAATGATTAGTTCTAAACAAAATATTAAACCAGTTTATGTGGATGTTTTTACCATAACTTCAAACTATTGACTGAGGCACCTAAATTCACTCTTAGACTTGATTCTCATCTTAAGTTGTATTTATTAAGATTACAGAAAAACAATTTTCAATGGCGTTATCTTTCTTTGAACTAAATGCTTTAATCAACAAAACCTTTTCAATCTTTTTGACGTCAACTAAGGAACATAATAACAATGTCAGAAAAGTAGAACACCATCTACAAAATGATATAGTCACAACCATGTGAAACACTACACCAGAGGAAGAAAGTGTCTTCTTCATTTACTTCATAATTCATTAGTTCTCAAGCGTCATGACATAGCTCCGCTCAAATGAACACATGTTACCTAATGTTAACAAGATTTTGATTGTAAAAGTGTTAGAATCGTCAAAATAAAAAACGAAAAGAAGAATAAAGGATTTCTAGAAGTATGCCACTCATGTCATTTAACAATCAATAGATATGCTGGAATACCTGCAATTTATTAGCTATAAAGAAAAAAGCTAAATAACTTCAGGATCAGGGATTAGATGAGCAAAAAAACAGTTTTAAAAAAACTTGGTCACCCTTTATAATCCAATTAACCATAAAATTAATCCCATCCCTACACTCAGTAGAATGTGTAAGTAACTCCTCACAAAGAAAACTTTGTGCATAGACCAATCAGTTTACAGAGCGCATTATCACCAAGTTGCTTAGACTTCTCACTGAAATATTTTTCGAGAAAAAGCCTTTTGATCTGTTGTTATTTTCAGAGATAAAAAGCCCATTTAAGTAGATCGATTTTGTTACAAAATCCATAGTTCTGTACAGTTATTAATAATGGCTACTTAAAAGCAATCTAAATGAGCAGTTTCATTTCAGTAAAATGTTCAGGTAATAAAACGTTAAATATTAACTCCGATTGTTACCATTAAAAATGAATGGGTTATCAAATACTTGATAAAATCATATAGATCTTTTATTTGAAAAAGATATACTACAAAAACACGCGTAAAGAAGTTTTTGGAAGCTGTCAAATGCTGTACTATATATAACGAACTAACCTTAGTTGAATAACCATTGAAAACTAAGGAACGCTAAACAGATGTTTTGCCCGGTTATGTAAATCTTTGGAGATGCATAGACTGACCTCATATGTCGTACAATTGGAGAAAATGAAGGACTGGAAGTATATCCAATGATACTATTGGTTATGTTTTTAACTGAACCTAAAGTTCTGGGGTTAGATCCCTGGTGATGTCGTCGAGGTGCATTTCTGAGTCCTATATTAGGACAAAACAGTGTCTACTGCTTCACAGTACTCAGCGGTTATCTAAATAAAATCATTCCGTTATACAATCCTTAAAAAACTAATGTAGTTGTAAAATAAAATGGTCATTTTGGACTCCAGAGTTAGGTTTTAATTCTGTACAGTTTATCTAGAGATTTAAATTTAGAGATCCCTGATAACAAATTAGATAAAGTTGGATAAATTGTACATCAGTATGGTACATATGTCAATAATTTATCAGCTAACAAAATAAAGTTCGTTTATCTATTTCACGAAAATTAATATGACTGTTTAATATTGTCGAATTAGCACAAGAAGGAGATAACTGTAAAATTCTTAATACTAGAGGAGGGTTTCAGCTTATTCTTAAATATTGCGAAATTTAAAATCATACCTCAGAACCACATAAGTTAGTTCACAAACGACTAAGAACTAAACATATTTAAACCTTAGATCAAAATCTGGAACAAAATTAGTTTAAAAGAGTACAGGAATTTAAAGGAAATTTGCAGAAATCTGAAGAATCTAGTATATATTTTGAGTAAATAACCTAATCACCTACTCCAAAACACAGTGCTTGTTGGGGTAAGAACATAGTAGAGTAAACATTAACACGGTAAGAAAACAAGAAATGACATGTCTACACTAACTGTAACTAAAGGAACGTAGACTGTATCATGAATGAATTCTATTAAACATGAAATTATTGACTATATAGTGTTTCTAAAAATGAGTAATATTACTGTTTATGGTATAACTAATGATAAGGTAGAGTTACTTGCCTACTGCTCTAAACAACTTTATCAAAAAATAGGAATGCAACAAACACTCATACCTTATACAAAGTTGTTGACTGATCCTTTTGTTGATAATGCCTCGTCACGATTCATGAATAAAACGAACCTTAGCCAGAGTAACCTAAACTAATCGTCAAACTAAACAACGATTTTGTATTTGCTAATGATCAGTATCAAAGAGAATTGCCAAAGTTTTGTAGTATCGTTAGTCTTGTTAAGCCCATATACTTTATTCTAGCTTCTGGTCAAGGCAATTCACCTATACATTATGAGTCATATTTTGATCTTGTTCATTATTCGCTTATTAACCTTGACTGCTTTTTATATGAGCGTATATGTGTGCACACTTCGTATCTTATTCATCATATGTCTGTCATTCACTTTTGTCTCACTATAAATATTAATTAACGCTTGCTTAAAATGAGTTGGCTTCCCCACCAATCTCCAATACGCATTATTTTCGCTTCGTTCTCGAGTTGGCTTCTCCGCCATCTCCAATACGTGTCATGTATGCTTCGCTCGTTTACACTTGCTCATGTGCTCACAGCTTTCTGGTCTGCATCATTTATCAATAAAAATGTAGTTGCCGCTTCCCTTTGCCTTCTGATATTATACACCGTTAAGTTTGGTATAATAACGGTTATCGAAGTAAACGATCAATGAAGCACGGCACTACAGTTTCAATAAATAAGGCATAATTGGTGAAATTCAACCAAGTTGCATGTTAGGCAGATATCATCCCCTACATTGAATGGTGGTAACGCTTTGTCGTAAATTAACTACACTTAGAAATATGAATCACTGAATCCAAGTTAATTATCCCTAGAGGTAAAATGCTCTCTCTGTGAGACATGAAAGCTCTCAGTTCATTCCCTTACGGGTACACAATTATAAATGAATTCTAAACTACTATATTTAACGTTTTCTGGTTTACAAATTTTCTGGAGATAATTTAAATCTATAACGAAAACCATCGACAAAAAAATCTTCCTGAAAAGATCGTATAAAATGTTTGAGCGATAAGACAATTGAAGAATGAATTAAATTTAAACACTTACAGTCATACCAATCTGTAAAGCCAATTCTCCTGCTTGAGCTTCTAATTCTGGTTCTTTACTTTTAAATTCACGTAACATTTTTGATCCCATTGGATTATTTATTTTCCCTAAGCAAACACGAGCAACATCCAATCGGCAAGTAGTAACACACATTTTAGCCATATTCTATAAAACAATTTTTTTAAGAAAAGAAAACAGTTTGTCTTAATTAAATTGTACCATGAAGAAAGTCTGATTAAGGCTAAAAAACAGTTTTAACATCACTTGTATTCAGATTTTCAGAGCGTAAACAAGAGAAGTGATAATACTATCCATCGAATTATTTTTCATATAGATACTATTCCATAGCCTCTTAAAATGTAATTATCTACAAGAAAATGTTCTTCGGAAAAGGGGTAAATAGAGATTGTAGTAATTTAATAAAATTAAATGATTTAAACTAAACCACCGCTGGTAACTTGGAAGCACTGCTGAGGAGTCCCATACTAGGACGAAATAACCGTCTTGTGCTTCCAGGTTTTTCAATGGTGGTCTAGTTTAAATCAACTCATGAATTCAACTATTGAAATTTTCTTCACTGGATTATTTTAGTTCTCAGTTGGGATTATCAATTCAATATAATTTTAGCGGTTTAAAAATCCCCATAAAATATTTAAAAACAAAGAATATTTGAGTCAACAATCTTATGATTTGACTTGTAGGTTGTATTTATCATAGAATGAGTTACCAGTCGATGGTAGAAAGTACTTGATACTTGTTGTTTCCTAGTATGGGATTCCACACTAGGGAGCAACTACAATCCTATCAAAAACTGAAACTAGGACACTCACGTGTCATTGCAAACAGATTGCCATTTAAAAAATCAGACCAGCGTCAAATGGTACAATTTCAACTTCAATCAGTTTTTAATGTGACGCTAGGCTATCCAATCTCATTGGTGAAAACTATTTCAATTCCAAGACATTTTAACTTAACTTACTTATTTATCATTACAATTATTTCAGTAGATAGGGTAAAATATGAAAAAGATCTCATTGAAATCAACACTGTCTGCTTAAATTTACACAATAAGAATTTCTTGGTGCTTACGCTTATCCAAAAGTTTCAACGTATATATTTGCAAGAAATAATAACAGAATAACAAAACATTTTAAAATGATATAAGTGTTGTATCGGGCGATAGTCTGAGTCTGACGCTGATATATACGGTTTCTATATATGTACCCAAACATCTATTTGCGAGAGAACATCAATAGTGAGTAAGAAGCTTTCATTGACCAAGTGAATCAAAATACGTTTACAAACTCATTCATAAATATACATCTGCTTTTCTCAGAAAATTGAGCCAGATTTTTAATCAATATTGTGTATTTGTCTTCCTCGAAAAATCAAGCCAAATCTTGACCATTGGTGCGCACACATCAGCAGTGCTTACCTATCGTTTGACTTTGAATTGAAATGCTTGAATGGTAAATCATATCAATACGTAACGTGGCTGAGAGTAGTCTGTTTAAACATTGGAACTAGGTTTCTCATTAGTTAGCACTCATCACCAAGGCTTACTATGAATCTTGAGGCTTCTGATGCTCTCTAAGGGATTTAAACCAGAGTCACCCAGATTCATAGTTTCAGATGTTAAAAGTAAGTTTTTGAATTGCGACTGAACTTTTGTAGGACCGAGATATTTACATTTATAAACTACTGAGTAGTGAATAATGTTATGTTTCCGTATTCCTCAGTCTGATAGAATTCGATCAATTAAGTTATAATGTCTTCACATTTTAGGCCTTGTCATAAGGTGATATGAAATATTTTCCTAGAATCCCAATTTAAAAATTATCTTAACATGAGAAACAGATCATACTAACATATTGCATAGCTGAATTGTTTCTTTTATTATAACTGTGATTATTGTTATTATTATTTGAGTTTTATCGCAAATCAGTCAGTACAAAATACACCTTGTGATAATCTTTCAGAATCTACAATATTAGTGAGTGCTTTAAATGACCCAATTTTTCTCATTTTATGATCATTAGTATGGGAGTTTGTGGGGATTACAATATTTTCACAGTTGAAATCACGAGTCGATCTAAGCTAGACTACCATTGAAAACCTAGAAGCACTGTACGACAGTTTCACCCTAGTATGGAACTCTTTAACAATGCGCACTCATGATTCCTCACACGAAGCTCGAACCCAGGACCTTCGGTCTCGCGCGCGAATGCCTGACCTCTAAATCACTGACATGGCATCCAACGTTGTTAATGTCTAACTTCAACCAATCCATAATCTTCCGCACCTCTTACTCTATTGCCTGAAGTAGATAACTGTCTCACACCCGACATGGATTGAACTCCACTGTTCACAGCTTTTCAATAGAACTCCAGAAGTCACATCTTGAAGCTAGTCACTAGTGAGCACATGATTGTTATCAGTATGGGGATTTGTGGAGGAGACCCATACTAGGACGAAGTGGTCGCTCCGTGCTTCCATGTTTTCACTAGTCTAGCATAGATGGACTCATGATTTCAACTGTGAAAAGCATTATTAATCAGGTTTCATAGGTAACAAATTGAAACTCAAGTGTGAGGGTTGTATTTTTGTGTGGTATGGTAATTAAATTGGATATTTTTTAATTAAGCCATTATGCACTTTTCTGTATCAAAGAATGATTCACAATAACATACCTGCCAAACGATTGGACTTTTAATCAATTTCATAGCTCTAAATGCAGAATCCATTTCACCTAATGCTAAATAATAGCTGAAATTTAGCATAGCTTCACGCGTCTTCTCATCAGCATCTTCAAGACCAATAAAATTTTGCATTACACATCTATCAATATAATGTACTCTATTCTGAGTTATTGATTCATCACCATCAATTACTTCACTATTCATTGATTTCTTTCTCGATTGAATATTGATATCAACATTATTATTCAATTCTTTATCTTCTCTATGCAATGATGTATTCAGATCTAAATCATTATTATAATTATTAGTAATTGTTGATGTACAATCAATTTTATTGATTATACGACGATCAGATGTAATCTTTTCAGACCGATTTCGATATTGTTCATTGAGAATAAGACGATTTATATCCCACTGAAAAATTGAGAATGAACTAGATGATTATTTTTGATGTATTACATGGGTACACAATAGGATCAACAAACTGAATATTAATGGATGACATTTTTAAAAAAATATATAAACAAAAAAGATTATTTAAAATGGGTATATTCATTTACAAACACTTGTCATATAAAAGTGTCCAAAATAGTTAACTTCGAATATCGATACCCTTTTATATCGTCTTAACAACTATTTTTATTGTAAATGAATAAGATTTTTGGATATTGGATAATGGGCAACATAGACCTGAGGACATCCCTTACATATTTATCTAATTCAATGTTTACTGTTTCTTCATAGTAAACTAAAAAAGTTCAACCCTCTTAGGATAACTACTGAAGGATAGAATGTTAGGTAAATCTAACTGAAAAGATCTTTGGTTTTACAAGTCAACATAAATGTGAAAAAGAATATGATGATAGTGTAAACCACACTTTGCAATCAGTTAGAATATTAACGAAAATTAATGTGGACCAAATAGTTATTTCTGGGTAATCTAAAAATCTTCTTGAGTTCAAGCCTTTATTACATTACACATGACCAAACTTATAACTCACAAACTGACCGCCGTTCCAATCATGACTGATTAGATTTTTACCTTTAGAGTTAAAATTGTATCGTACTTAGCGTAGAAATATATTCTTAATTTCGAATATCATGAAGTGTTTTGGGTTAGTGTATATATAATCAGTACTATTTTCAACTTTAATGTATCACATTATAAAACTAATTTTTAAATTTAGGTTTTGCTAGTTGAATATTACCAAAACGTAGAATGTCATGAGTGACAATTTCTTTCGAGTTTGAAACTTCTCAGCATTTCATTATCAGTTGTCATCGAACAGTTCAGACATAGAGCCCCCAGATTATATATGACAAGCTTCTTCATCAATAGTCATAATGTTTACATTTTCCTACTTTTATCAATCAATAAAATAGCTGGACCGTTCTTCAGTTTTATCTTATGTTAATTGTCATCCTTACAGCATCGTTAATCTTAGTACCTTTTGACTTCTCGTTAGAACTTCAGAAACTTTACATTGAAACAAATCACATGGCAGCCCACAGTTATCATTTTCTCACATTTATCTGTTCTAAAAATATTTCACAACAGAGATTTGTACAAATTTTTTTAATAAGTATAATTTAATAAATTTTTGTTTGTATAAACATAATAAATAGTAACATACACGAACGGAAAAATATATGAATGGCACTTCAACACCGATCAATGCACTATGATGAAAAGACATTAGAAATGATCCTTGAATTATTGTATCATTTCGATCTGGACTAACAAACAATGAAACAATAGAAGTAGAAACTTTCGATTTCTAGAGAAATAAAAATGAAGGAAAACAAAAAGAAATTCATTAGTTGTTTGACATAAATAGACCAATAGTTACTAAAATACATTTGTTGCTGGTAGATTTTATATCAAAAAGACAGATCTTTCATGATACTTTATCCATTACTTACTATTCATTTGTTAATATAATGAACATAAAAGCGATCACAAGTTTATTATGTGTTAAATCAATGTTAGTCTAAATCATTTCACGTTAAAACAACAAGGTGGTTGGTCGAAAACTACAGCCTAAACCCTTGGGAAAACCGAAACTTAGTTAGAACAGAAAATTCATTGATTGGTTGTACCCGGCCATTATAATCTGTCTCATGTTGTAATGAAGAATAACTTCAATTCTTCTAATGATTGAAAAAAATTGCTATCCCAACTATAAAATCAACTTACTGAGTTGAACATAGAATTAGTTGCAAAATATATTGACAGTTTCATTTAAACAAAAGTAATCAATGAACAATCCTGGAAGTAGTAAAGGTCAGGTTTTATATCTATCAGTTTAAACCTATAAACAAACAGTTAGTTAGCAAGAATTTAAATTTTCATTGAGTATACAACTGAAGTATATAACTGTATAATATTATCATCTTTAATATAAACTACAACCTAAAACGCAGTAAACTTGATAATTTAGTTGTAGTGTATTTTATATTTTGAATGATCATCTACGCTCAACAGAAATCACATTTTGTATTTTCACATCAACGAACAACCTTGGAGAGTCATTGAAATCCAGAAAACTCTGGACAACTAAACAACTGGCTAACGACCACTTTACGTGAATTCAGATCACTGAGCTAGTTTTCAGTAGATCACACTTCTAAATTTAGTCGATTAGAAATGTTCCACAGCCATCATTGATGAACTTCACTAGTCAGTCATGTCTGCTATATAAAAATACAAAGTTCAACAATCTTCACACCCAAATATGTTAAGAAATAGTACCCAATTAGTCAAACGCTTCAAACAATAAGATTCCTTTTTAGTTTCAACGTTTTGACATAAACGAGCAACAGTGATGATAATAACTATAATTATAATTTCCTTATTTATTCTACATATCAAATAAAAGCAATATTTTGGAATGTTTGAAGATTACCTTATAAACTATGTTCATAGATAAAAATGTAATCAATTAATTTGTACATGTAACACTCTAAATCAATCTGACCATGATATAGTATGGTGGTGCATGCTACTTATATCGACAGACACAAGTAGTATGTAACACCATTCAGAATTGTAATACCTGGTAGCAGAACATTGAGAAGATCAAACTGAAGAGAACAGGAATGTAAACAGAGAATAATTGTAATAACAACAGGAATGAAGGAACGATAAGGTTTATAAAAGACAATTTATGGAAGATATACAAATGAATTATTTAATGTATAGTTTTCATATTTTATGAAGACATTCTGTAATTTTCTATTAAATAATAAATTGGCTTTAACCCCATGGGTGTTCGTTCACTACAGGATGTCTTTGCTTCAATAACGGAATGTCTGGGACCATTTCAGTTATACAGAATACTAGTTAAAATATGCTAACTTAACCAGTTCATCGTAAACTCCTATTTCGACTGATATACTTTAAAAAGAATAGTTGTCATTTTCATGTAATAGACATTGAATTACGATTCCCAGTAGAAAATCCGAAGCTACTGAAGTTCAACAGAATGCCAACAATGTGTATTAACTAAGGTAAAATATATTATTTACATTCATCTATCAGCAACTAACATTAATAGTAAGAGAGAGATGCTTTATTCAATGGAAAACTGAAGTTTATTACCAGTGATAAGTTAAAACATTCAGAGTTACAATTCGAAATGATGACAAATTCTTACATCCATAAACATGCCAAAGTAAGGAGTTTCAAAATAAAACTGAATGAATCTAAATGATAACTAATAAAGTCTTATGAATTTTTTTCAGCCCAACAACTTGTAAACTAACACTCAGTAAATTTTGACCAAGAAGATATTCAGAATACTTTTATGAATGTAAGAAACAAATTCATTTGAAATGGGATTGTTAATGAGTGAGCGATGACTAAATTGACTAACATCATACAAAAGAACATTTATTTGTGAGTTATTTTTTTACTGACTCTCTATATGTATTTTAGATAAATAATTCATACCCTTTTACTAGACGATCGATTATCCACAGTAGTATATTGATTAGTATCATTATCAGTTATATAATTAATTCCAGAATGTTCGTTATTTACTTTTTCAAGTAAATTTAATTTAGATTTTAATATTGGATGATCAGGTGAGATTGGTGCAGCTTCTACAACCAACATTCTTGATTCATATTGATCCCAGTAATGATGTTTTGGCCATCTCTTCTGAATAAGATTTTTACTATTTAAACGGACTAGATTTAAATTTACTGGATGATTTTCACTTTCAAGATTATTTACTAAAATAGATAAACAAGTATAGTGTAATGAAGAAAACAATCAACCTAAATAAACAGAAAAACATTTAATTGATATACCTTCAAATTTCGTCAAATCTAGTAGCTTTTTGATAGTTGAGATCATGAATCAATTGAAGCAACACCACCATGGAAAATCTGGAAGAACTGGTCGGCCGTTTCGTCTTATTATGGGACTCCTCAGCAGTAAGCATCCACGATCCAGCCTCGCGAGATTTGAACCCAGCACCTATCAGTTTCGAGCGCGAGGGCTTAGCCTCTAGACCACTGAGCCAGCATCCAACGGTGTTAATGTCTAACTTCAACCGATCCACAAAATTGAGCAACACATCCACCAATGTCTTCAGTGAGTTAATATCTTACAACACACCTGGTTGAACTACACTGGTCACTGCTTCTCATTAGAACTCCAGGCCTAGCTTCAATTGATTCATGATCTCAACTATCAAAATTACCATAATATCCACAAAAATCCTTCTGCTAATTGTTTTTATCAAAGATTCACAATATCAAGGAAGGAAGAACAATTATTTCAGTTTACATCAGAACAGCTTATAAAATAAGAAGAGCAAGTAAATCTTAAGACTTGTAACAAGTAGATTCTCATTTAGCAAATAGATTGAAAACATTTAATCTACTGTTTAACTTCTTAATTTTTTTAATAACAGTGTAGATATCTCACGATCCATTTGAAGCTAAATTATCAAAATGAATTAGAACCGACGTTTAAGTAATTCATGATTAAACTGAAGATAGCTTTCTCTGTTTTACAAACACTCCTCAAATTTTAATGCACCTCTCTACGGATACTCGTTTTTAGTGATGACTGTCAGGTAACTTATCAATCTCCAAAACAATTTATTTCCTACTTTGTTCAGTTGTGTAACCAAGAGACAACGACTAATTAAAATGTATAGCTACAAATATCTTGAAGACAGGGCAGTAACACACTATGGACAGTGAGGCGAATAAATAACTTAAACTTTATTATTGGAAACATCTTTAACGCTGAATATGTTGATAAGTGCCTATTTACCAAGGTTATACGAACTCCCGAGGGAAGGTTGGTAAAAATTTTAATACCACTCCACAAAGACATAGTAGTAGGGACATATTCATGTTCGTCGAGACTATCAAAGACATAAGGACGAAAGAACAAACGATGATATCCTTAGACGTAATATCATAGTTTACAAATGTCCCACTCAGAGAGACTGTAGAATATATTTATGGACAACTTTGTGAAGGAGAAATAGAGACTACAATCCCCATATAGATCACTTAAGAATTGTTACTAAAATGTACTATGAACTTAAACTTCAAATTCAGTGGTGAAATAGATGCTTTCGCGAAAGATTCACCACCAGGTCACATATTGGGTGACATTTTTATGACTAAACTGTAGAACGATCCACTGGCACAACAGACTGACAAGTTTTCCCTTCAATGCCGATATATGGACTGTACATTCATCCTTTGTAGCGACCAGACTGATCGGGTAAAGACAATCAATAGATTAATGAAGTTCTTCCGTATATTAAATTCACATGTGAGGAAGAAAAGAAAGGAATACATTTTTTAGATGTTCTTCTTACAAGGATTATAGATGAATCACTACGAAGAAACTTAATAGAGAAAACTAGCTGAACTGGTCAATAAACAAATTTTCTTAATTTTGTCCCACCAGAATATAAAAGGATTCTGATCAAGACACTTCATTATAGAATCAAGACCATATCCTCGCTAGATGTGGTTTAAGAAGAAACAAAGGCACAGTGCACTATTTTGAAATAAAGTAGATATCAGGCGAAATTTATAAACAAGCATGTAGGCATGAGAGAGCATAAAGAAGGTCTAATTTTAAGCAAAAAGTCTCTGTATATACGACTATAAGTTAGAGACGATGCAATCAGCACAATGCTAATACGAAAGTTGCATTGAACAATCGAAAGATCTTTGAATGCAGGTAAACTATAATTGATGTTTTCGAAACAACTGATGGTCACTCTGAGATTGAAGGATAATTTACTTAGACCACCCACTTCTTTCTGTATTTATCAATTCAACTAAAGCAATTTACGTCGGCATGTATTCTAGAAAATCGTATTTTCGTGCTTGTGAGCACTTCCAAGTGTAAATAAGAAAAAGTATTGTGGTATGGGTTGCTTATATCCACATAATTAGTATATGACGATGGTCAAGAAGAAAATGTATTTCAGCAGAAGATCGATGAGGAAATAATGGAAACGAAACGCATTTTGTATGAAAATGCATGAGCAATAATAATGGGAGACTATAAACTGATATTTACAGAAGGAATGGTCAAGATTAAGACAATTGATTGATAGTTTGCAAATTAACTTTTTACTGTATGGTTGTCAGATTTCAGTGACATTGTCTGTAATCTTCATATCAAATACATTCGATTGTACTCACTCGTCTTCTTATCCACTACAGTATGGTTAAAACTGTATACAGCTCGATTTTAACTCAGTACAAGCGAGCCAAACATCCAACATGGAGTACTCATTTACTGTGAAATATCGTGTTAACAGCAATCTGCTTAAATACGTCAAACCAAGAATCCATCAGATGGCTGAAGTAATAGCTATTCAAATTAAAAAAACCGAGGCTTTGCGTTCAGAAGAAATATGTTCATCTGCTCCTTTTACCTTGGCCAACTTCTGGTCTAATTAATTAATAATCATTTTGATGATATGGTGACGTAATTCGATTAATGTTCATACAAACCTTCTCTTTGTATCTCCATAGCTTAAACTTATCCATACATATTATTATTATAACACATCCAAACGTCTTGGAGAAATTTAATGAGCATCCATCCCTATTTACTAATTCGTACCCGATACGTACTATTCAACATACCAAGTGATTTCTGATTTGTAATTACATTATCATCTCTCTCGCGCCATGTTAATCTTATTTATTCTGATCATCAGTCTCAAAGTTTCATTTAACGTACAACATCATTCCAGTCAACATTTTGTATTAGTCATCTGAACATTAACGATTACAATTTATTCTATTATCTTAAATTCACATGCTATGATTTTAAACATTGTATTTTGCCTTTAACCTGATCACTTTTTAGATTATTAATTTGATATATAGCTGCAGAACCTGATAATAATTTATTGAAAGGAATATATTCACTATCGATATCTTATGTTTTTGAGATAAACTGAAGCACTGTCATATCTATTTACATCACTCACTTTAACTACTCATAAATATACACCAACCAGAAAATTTGTTTATTACATATCATATGTACCAAATTTTACTAGTCAGGATACAGCTTGATCAGGAAAAGATATTCAATAAGTTTCCGGCTCTCTACCTTTTCAGCTCCATCAAATAAGTTATTCCTGTAAGTGAACCAACAAATGTAACAATTCAGGGCTTTCTACTTCATATTAAAGCAAGTAACCGACATCCTAGTGACTACATACTTTCATTCACATTTGAAGGTTGTTTCAATGTCACAACAACGAAGCTCCTCTTGATTTAATAATTTATCTTTCCAATTACAAATAAGTATACTGGTGCCAAAGTAAGTGATGTCTATCATTCATAGCTTTCACTCACATCATACAACTACACATACAGTATATTCAGTAAATGCTTACTTGTTTCAGGTATATCATTAACAGAATTTGATAAAATTTCGAAAAAATTGAAACATTTCAATTTATCTTCATCTAAATGATAAATATAAATATTTGGATCTGGAATCCATTTTTTTAATAATTTCACATCTTTATTCATAATTCCTGTTGTAGTTCTTGGCATGACTTTATCATTCATTTTATCTGTTTGTATTTTTGTGAACAATGATGATGATTCAACAGAATTGAACCATAATAGTTTACATAATTCACCATTTAGTAAAATTTCTATTGTAAATGCAATTGAATTACCAGATTTATTCATTGAAATCCATGAAATATTTAATTCATTTATTAATTGATTATTTGAATGATGTAATAATTTGATATTCTCTTGAATAGATGTAGTTGAATAGTTCGATATTGATGGATTCTGTGCAATAGAATTGAATAATTGATATAGAACTAATTGAGTTAAAGATTTGGATGTATTTGTTGATTTGATTTCTCTAAATTTGAAAATATACCAAACAAAAATGAAATAAATAAACTTAATTACAATGGTATATTAAAGAATGATATGGTAGATTGAAGAATTCTATTACTTAGATAATAGTATAAACATTAGAATTATGAAGGATAAATGATCGTTTAGGAGTACAAAACTAGAAATTGAGCTATCCAGTATGAATGAAAATGTGGAACTAGATTCATTGTATTAATAGCAGCTGTATAGAACTTGTTATTTGAATGAAATGTACTCTAAAAATCCAATGATGTTATTGAAGTATTTCAAGGAATTAGTATAAAAAAGTCTTCTGAAGTTGAAAGAGTTTCTTGTTAAGAAATAATAAGTATTATCAACTTTGAAAACATATCATAATTTGTGACAGATTTCTTAAGCTTCGTTTTTAAGGAGACTAGTGTAATTGAGTTAACTCTAATACTTATTCGCAAATATTATTCGGGGAACATTGCGGAGTGGTTTTTCCTAAATTTGAATAATCATAAAAGACCATCTTTGTTATGAAATAACGTCCAATCTAGTTACTGATGAATGTTTTTAAGTGTTTGACACCCTTCTTTTGGAGACGCAAAAATCTGCATCTAAAGCTCTGTTGCAAAACGTTGAGTAATATTGTACACTATCAATGATAACATGTGAGCTACCGGACTGGTACAAATAGGGACATATTGATAGTGACCTGTAGTCGGTGGGTAATTCGTTAACTCTTACCAGCATGGCTGTTGTTGAAACTTTTGCTTACTATGTAGTCTTGAAACAGCATGTAATTCCTTAAGACTTTCTTAATATATAACATTTAAATGAGTGGAAGACCTTTGAAGTCTAAATAGTGGTTTTTATGTTACTAAACGCATCATCACTCAAAGGACATCTAAAATTAGTATCAATACATGAAGGTTTCATTACATACTACTGAGCTGGCACTTTGAAACTTCTTGAGGTTTTTTTGAGGCATTTATGAGGCATTTGTGACTCTATTCTCCTGGCTGAAGACACTTTATCTACAGTAGATTGTATTTAGCCCTCCAAATTTACTATGTGGAAATATTCTCTAAACAATCATCAACCACATTGCTAAAGTCTGATATGAAGGAAGAATGGGATAAATAAAAGCACTGGAAAGGGATATACTCTTGACATATTGATTTTGTAACAAATTATCAATACAAGTTACTAAGATAGTTGGTTTCAATTTCAAAATAGGTAATATCGAAGCAATTCACTAAGGATGCTCATATACTAAAAGAGATCAATCATTTGCGGTTCTTAAGAACACCAACAATGGGAGGATCCAAACCTTCACTTCTGAATTATAGTCTAAACGTGAGAACAAATAAATAATTATCAAGTGAGTGTTAGAATTCTAATCAGTATGTGATCTTGAACATTAAACTTACAAATGTTTCCAAAAATCAAACGGCTCAAAAACCAAAAAAAATGTTCTTTAAAACGTTTGTTAGTATGGTCATTGAACAATAAATTGTCAGGGTATCAGGATAATACACAAGCAATAAACATTTGAAAATCGATTTACCTTCTGCTTAAATCAAATACTCGTACTTTATTTTGATCAGTAAGACATGCCATATAACTGCCACATTGAGTAGTCATAGTAATACTGCCCTCTATTTCTGTAAAATTGATTAGTTGTTTAACACAACCCTAAAATATTAAACGACATAAAGCTTTAATGTTCAATAAAATATCCATTGAATAAATGTTTAAGTAATTGTGGACAGTAGTAGCGACAGAATCGGAAAGAGTGATAACAGATGTGTTTAAGATGGAAACGATCATCATTAAACAAACCTACTGAACAAGTGTTCTATCCTTTCCAAGGTTTTCTCAGTAATAGACCGAATTAGTTTTTTTAGATTGTGGACTAAGGAGCATTAGATATTGTACAAACATTTATCTTTGACATTTTTGTCAAGAAACATCTCCGATTCAGAAATTTGATTATCTAGCATTCTCCGAATATCACATTTGTAAGAAATGTAAGAAACACTGAATTTATATATTTTCCAAACTGTCGATGATCTTAGTACACTCGTTAAAGGTTTCAGTTATGGTAACATTACAACAGATATCTAGTTACTACATGTTAAGATCATCTGCGTTATAAATTTTAATTGTAACATGTGATTCGAAGAAAATAAATGTTATTGAGATCATGAAGTGACCTTTGATAAAAAATCCACTGAAAACCTGTAAGCATTGTACAGCTGTTTTGTTCTAGTATGAAACTACTCAGAAGTGGTCATCCAAGATCTGACGACTGAGAACCAAACCTAGGACCTACGGTCTTGTACGAGAACTCTTAGACTCTAAACCATTGACCCAGGACCCGATAGTAAGCAATTGTAATTTCAGTCCATCCATAATATTTCTTTATCTTCAGTGAGTACTTTCCTCACATCCAATACAGTTATACTCTACTGGTCATGGCTTTTCAGCTAGAACTCTGGAAATTTTCTCACTAAACTAATCATTATTGAGCAGATGATAAATAAAGGTTTATTATAACACAGTTTATAAAGTACGATAAATATAAAGTTGAGTGATAATGTTTCTATTAAAAAAATAAATATTTAAGAACACAGTCAAAATATAAAGAACGTAAATAACTTTCACAATATATCAGTAATGTTCACGAAGAAAAAAGAAAGTTTTTTTAACTCAACTGATTTTAGTTATAAAGAACGTCATAAACATCTTTCTTATTTTCTCTTAGTGTTATGACTTTATGTCCGGCTTTTTATCACGTGAATTATCCATCAATCGAAATACGACTTGTCTAATCTTAACACTGTAACAAATCAATGACGTTCGACCAATATGGGCAATCTAGCGTCCTTATTGGTCCCTTGTCCACCTAGCCCTTCCAATTGAGTCCACAACACCAATTACAGCTTCTGCTATACGAATCATTTATTTCAAGTATACTCGGTTTATATACCAGACAGAAAGACCGCATTACACCATAAAATAGAAAATAATATTTGTGAAAGATCAAGTCAAATGTGGCTGTGAACGAGGGAGACAGTAAACAATAAACTGAGTATAATTTAGGAAAAGTAATTGGTATAATAATAACCCATAAGTCAAAATGAAGCTTATATTAAGATGAATATATATATATATATATAGATTAAATCTAGTCACTGAATAGTTAAACAATAAGAATATATATAAAATAATCGTCCACTAATAGGTCCTGGAAGTTACCTATACTTATGTCTTCGCTAGGATATAACACTTAGTGATTAATTAATATATGATAAAAAATAAGTTTTTAAATTGAAATTCAAAAAAAAAGAAAAAAATTACCTCTAAATTACGAACTTGTAATTTATATGGTTCAATTGTAAATAGATTATATTGATGCATTCCAACCAATTTAAATTCACAAGAGAAACAAGCTATTAAATATAATTACAAAATTAATTAACAATTATTAGTTAATTATTATCAGAAGGGGTTTTGTGGATATTACAGTAATTTTAATAGTTGAAATCATGAATCAATTGAAGTTAGACAACCATGGAAAACCTGGAAGAACTGGACGGCCGTTTCGTCTCACTGTGGGACTCCTCAGCAGTGCGCGTTCACTATCTCACCTCGCGAAATTTGAACTCAGAACCTATCAGTCTCGCGCGCGAGCACTTAACCACTAGACCACTGAGCCAGCATCCAACGGTGTTAATATCT